TCCCAAACTTAGTATGGTGTTTTGCGTGGGACAATCGACAATTCTTTGGAAGAGTACAAACCGACTTCAGTGTGTAATAAAAGCTTGCGAAAGCTTCCAATGCTCTATCAAGTAATCCGTTTTATTCCCTTTGATGTTAATTGCTTACAAATATATCTGGCTTTTTTTTCACGGCAAAGAAAGTTGTAGTTTTAGAGGCATGATGGTGTGGATCTTCATAGTTCGATAATTGAAATCCAGAATGGCCAGGCTAGATGCGAGCCATAAGCTATAGAACTCGCATTTGTAACGCTATATTATTCAATATTAACCAAGCCATAGGTCTCGGGATAGTACAGATCTTTTGCACAGTAATTTCTAACACCTTTTGTCCCTTCAGTTACCATAAGCAATGCAACATAGTAGATTGTCCTTTCAAATCGGCATTCGGTCTGGGAGAATGCACAGACTCATGAGGTTGAGGTAGCTTCTGTGAAAACAATGTTAGCTAGCAATACTGATCTTCCAGCTATCGCCGGGCGAGAGCTTTCCTATCGTAGATAATGAGCTCGGCGATGAAAAACTATTGCTACAAGATACGGATTTAATTTCCTCTCAATATCTTTAAACTGTAGATTTCAAGAACATGAGTGATTTATGAGACATTGCCATGGGTTCATGACAAACATATAAACATCTACATGATCATATTGCGTCAAATTGGTACTTCCAGCGCTAGCCAGTGACGAGACAGCTCAGTCGAAGGCCATATTCACAAAAGACTAGAACCGGAACTCCGGGGGATACTACATAGAAGGCTACGGGCTCCGCGGAAGTCCCTCATCTATCTAGATCAGATTGTATGATCTACTCATCAGATTTGCAGCTATCAGTAATATCGAAACGGTTGATCTTACCGTTCCGGATTGTAAGCGTTTTGACAGTTTCGTACTAGTGGGGATTATAGTGTATATCTGTCCAATCAAATGACAGAGTTTGCGAGCATACCAATCGTAAAGCAGATGCGCGAACCGCTATTACGCCAATAGGATCAATTTGGCCCGAGCGAGCCGATAAGACCTCGCGGCGCGTGCAGGGCTTTGCCTCACTAAATTTTGAATCGCGCAACATCAGCGTGCGAGCAAAGGAGAAGTCTCTCATGTAGACGGGGATATTGAGATGAAATCCGGGAAGCCCCGCACAGGTCCCCAGGCGAGAGTCAAGGTCAAGTCAGGGTGCCGCACTTGCAAGTAAGTAGTCCGGACAATACCCCCAGATTATTGCCCATACTGCCAATAGGACCAAGTCCAGTAACTGTTCCGCGACCCAGAATCCGAAAGGTCAAATGCGATGAGCGGTTTCCAGTATGTGTTCGATGTACAACCAGTGGTCGGATTTGTGACGGATACGGAGTCTGGGGCGGCGGTGGTAACTTTTACGGCCACCGCGAGCACGCTCCTAAGTCGGGGACCAAAGATCTTGCCTGCTGGCCATCGATACGTGTTTCTGCATTTGGAACAAATGCTCAGGAAAACCGGTATTTTGATTGGTTTCGATATCGAACCGCCAAAAAAATTCCAGGTCCCTTTGCCCTAGAGTTCTGGAAGACATTGCTCTTTCAAGCAACCTGGAATGAACCGGCCGTCTTACATGCAATCCTTACTTTGAGCTCTGTTCATAAGTCTGACACCCCCGGAAAGGTTGACCAAGATGTAACCAAAAACGTCCCGGACGAGCAAGAGCAATTCATGCTGCAACATTACACTAAAGCAATACATCATCTCCGACCACTTTTCTTGTGCAATGATAGGGCATCTATTCGCGTCGCTCTTATTACCTGCATAGTTTTTGTTTCTCTAGAGTTCCTTCGTGGTCGGTTCAAGACTGCCCAAACCCATCTTGAGGGTGGACTGAAGGTACTCCGAGAGTCACAATATCATCGGGCTGTAGGTGATGATAATTCGAATCTGACCAACGCCCCTGATCTAGTCGACACATGGATCATAGAAGCCTTCTCAAGGCTTCAGACTCAAGTTGAACTTTTCAAGAAAACATTTCAGCATTCGTACCTATCTCTACAGCCTCCTAGGCATATCTCCCCGGTTCGTTTCTTTCAGTCTATGGAAGCAGCTTGGGAACCATTAGAGCAACTCTTGAATAGAGTATTATTTCTCACCGAACAAAATCGTCAGCAACGCACTTCTGAGAAATCTACTATTCTTTCTACAGTGCTAGCTGATGAGCAGCAGCTGATTCAGAAGGGCTTGATTCAATGGCTTGTTGCATATGAAGCATCCTTAGAAACTCTAAGGGAAAAAGAATACGCCGCCCAAATTTGCATATTACTTGAATCATATCATACCATGGCCTTCATCATGGCAGGAACATGTCTGTCGTTCGATGATGAGACTATTTTCGACTCATTTACGGATCATTTCATGATTCTTCTTGAGCGAGCAGTCCAGTTGAGGAAGATTGGAATTTCCCATTCTCAAGTCCTGTCTGAGCTTGCCATCGACATGTCACGGTCAATGATAGATGTTGGCTGGATTCCTCCATTGTACTTCATGGCTATTAAATGCCGCATTCACAGGATTCGACTTCAATCTATCAAGCTACTGGAATCTGCGTCGCACAGGGAGGGAATTTGGGACTCAAGGATTGCTACAAGAGTCGCACGGCGGGTGATGGAGATTGAAGAGAGGGATTTCTATCACGATGCCCACACCGCTGATAATTTCTTCCTCGATAGCTTCCCAAGCAAACAAGATTTGTCACAGCCAATCCTACCCCAAGCTGACAGGATACATGAACTCAGGGTAGTGCTGTCGGATAACCCAACCGATGACGTAACAATGCTATATAGACTAAAAGGGCCGTCGATGGACTTGATGAGTATAAGAGTCTCTCTTAATTATGGTAGATGACCTTCCAACAAATAGCTGCAATCAAATATATAGTCTGATACAGTTTCACGACTCGCTCAAGATCCCCCCTACCATTAGAACCACAAATATTCGTCCTTTTCCCCACCGCTGTAGATCATTGAGATTTCTTAATGGGCTCCATGTCGCTGACTTCATGTTGTTCCATGCTAGTCACCATTGGGCATAGATGACCTTTTTCCTTCAAATGACCATTCATTTCTCCATACGTTATGCTGATTCCGGTATGTTCTAATGCTGCGTCCAGTATATCATCTTCGTCGTTGGTCTCATCGCCTTCAATGTCGCTGGTCTCATCCTTTGGAATCCTTGTAATGATATAATTACATGAAATTCGAAAAATTAAGAATAGCCAAAACAGATTGAGAGCTTGCAGGCTTGCGAGTAGTCCAAAAGTGACCATCTGACTGATCCTGCATTTGTACTGTTGTGCTTTCCAATCAAGTTCAAATGGGCCGATGGTAGCAAACTCAGTGAGCACTGCCCATAAAATACGGATGTTAAGGTAATGACGCATATAAATCCATACAAGTACGAATGTTAAGTAGTAAGGACCGGTCAGAGGTGAGTCAAGATAATTGAGGACTCTAGATGACTGTAATTATAACCGTCAGTGAAGAGTTGATTGCTCTATCTCATGGGCACATACCGCAAGGAAGAAGTCAGAGATATCATGGGTCACATAGACGGCAACGCCGATGTAGGTGAAATGAAATCGATAACTCAACCATATCAAAGCGAGCGTGACGACATGGTGCCCGACGAGTTCTTTGAAATCTTTTCTTCGTTTCTCGAGTTGTAACAACAACACAATCGCTTGCTGCAGCCAGTAGCTGGCCTGAAGTAGATAGTATGCCTTGACCAGAGCCTCGTGCTCAAGATGTGGATATCCTTCAAACATTGCTGCACTATCAAAGTACCATATTGGTAACCGCGACATGACAACTAGTCCGTAGGGTGCAAAAATACCGAAGTACATCGCCGTATACACTTGTTCCATGAATCGTGCCCTCTTATGGCGACTATGGATTCCATAATACGTCCCTAGAGGTCGTATTAAGCGCTGCATCAATATTTCTCGTATGAACGAGAGCACGACCGTGTAGAAGGCGACGAATGCAAGATCATTCACGCCTTTTCCGTAAAGTTTTGGTGTATTCGGGCTCCTACGGGGTAAAGGGTACGATAAAAAGATTGCTTGGTGGACAGGGTTGGACTCCGATGGGTGGATTAGGTACAGCATCGCAATCATGACAATGATTAATGAAGGGATTAGGCATGTGTGGCGTCTCGAAAAGATATTAAACCATTGCCATGGAGTCATATGCTGTTTTGGGGACAATTCACCACTTCTGGTGGACTTCTCGTCTATATTAGAACACAGTATCGGCAGATGGAGGACTGACTACTGACGACAATACGGCGAGGAGCAGGCCCGATGGGAGATGTGCGAGGGACCGGGGACATGATGAGTATTGCAAAAGCCGGAGCGCCTGTGTCTCCTCGTGGATCACCTCCAAAACTGGAGGTTCTTCTCTGCCGGGCCATGATATGTGCTCGGGAGGGAGGCCGAGAGCGCCTGACAGGAGAGGACTTTCAGATTTTCGGTGAGAAGACTTGCTGAAATGCTGAAGGTGTCTTGGGTATAAGGATTCTATGCCTAGATTGAAATTCACTTATTGGAATGTGATTTTTGGGACACATTTAAATAGGAGGGAGCGGTTGCAACTCATAATACCCTCAGGGGTTATTGGCCTTGGCGGGCTCAAACCGTTTAAAACCGCCACTTCCGAACGGATGCTAGAAACGGAAGCGCTTCAAGCCAGCTTCAAGCCCAGGCTGTACAACCCGCGGGTCCCGCACTTGAAGCATCCTCGCACTCTAACTAAACTTTAATTTCATGCCTTTCGCCATGCTTAACTAGAAGATCTATCTTGCAACTGCCCTAATAAGTGTCGTGCCAGAATGAGTGTCAATTCGTTGGCCGAGCAACCCTACTGAAGTGCGCCGCTTTGATATCATTCCTGATCTCCAAGCAAGGAGTTCTCAGAGCCCATGTCGCCCGTTCCAGTTACCTTAGCCAGCTTGGCCCGCCTGCAGGAACAGCTTTTGCCTTGACATGAAAACGCTCATGACTATCACCAAAGCTCCGGCTGCGATCGTTGTGCCATAAGTGTCGCTGATGCTTTTCACAATCGCGTCAAGGACCTCTCTTTGCTTTTCAGCGCTCAAGCCGTCAAATATCATAGAGTTGACTCCCGCGATAGCACCTTGCACAGCGTCTTTGCTTAGATTGGGCAAAATCTTGGTAAGTCTGTCCTGGGCACCATTCACCAATACACTGTTGACGATAGCCAGCGCAATAGTGAGCCCAGAGACTTGGCCAAGAGAAATAAAGCCCACAGCGTTAGGAATGTTGTGCGGCTCGACTATAGCCTGAGCTACAGAGAACGACGACTGTATAAAGGACCCCGAACCGATACCAATGAACACGCTATACCCATAGATTTTTGCGGTCGATGTGTCTGTGTCGACCACAGCAAAGAACAGCACCCCGCCAACGAGACTGAGAATGCCCCCAAACAAGTACCACGGCATGTAGTAGCCTGTAGCTGCCATAATGCCGCCGTTAGCGATGCAAAAGAACACCATTGTACAGATAAGCGGCAGCAGGCGTACTCCAGCGTCCAACGCCCCATCGGAACGTGTAAACTGGAAGTATAATGGGATCATATAAAGAGGTGTGAATGCGATAGTGGATGCCGCGGCGATTGATGCAAAAAGAATAAGGATTTCCTTGTTGTACTTGGCTGTGAAGAATTCGACGGGAAACATGCGATCAACCTTGTTAGTGAAAATTGTCTGCACTTGCTGCACTCCAAGAGCAATGTAGAGGATGCCCATAACAATCCACAGAGCTATCATTTGTCCCGAGTTCCAATTATAGAGGATGCCTCCGAAGCAGACAGCCATGACGAAGGCAACCGTCGCGCCGATAAATAGAATAGTACCAACAAAGTCAACTGTGCATAGTTAGCTAGGTCTCTTCAACATAAGGGCATGTTGCTCGATACTTACTGTGCCTAAGACGTGTCATAAAGCTTACACCCGGTCGTGGGTCGGAACTCGGAATGAGAAAGAGATAAACGGGGGCAAATGCCCCACCTACGCAGAGGTTAATGTAGAAACCCCATCTCCAGGTTGCACTTGAGTCTGCGAAAGCACCTAACAAGCTGTCATTACGATGATCATCCAACATAGAGCTTGTCCTTACCACCGATAACAGGACCCAGCACTGTGCCTGCGCCCCAGACAAGTCCAGTCAACCCAATGTAGATCGATCTTTCCTTTATAGTCGTCGTATACGCAATCAGAGTCATCACGCCGATGTACATCCCCATCCCGCCAAGGCCAGCAATGGCTCGTCCAACAATGAAGCAAGTGCTATTGGGAGCTGCCGCGCAGAGCACACTGCCAAGTTCAAAGAGAAGCACAGTGCCGATGTACAGCCATTTCGCATCGAACTGAGAATACAGTTTTCCAAAAACTAGGGTCGTCGCCATGGCCCCGAGCGCGAATCCGGTGCTGAACCAAGGCAATTTATCAATAGCATCAAATCTATCCGCGACGATGCCTTGTACATCGGCCACCACAGTATTGTCTATCAATCACATTAGTCTCATAATCCCAATCATGGTTCATTCTCATCCGTACCGAGTGAGAATAGAAATGTTGATGACAATATGCTCGCCATGACCAAGGCAAACTTATATCCTGTCAGTATTCGCTGTAACGGCTGCTCTGGCGCCTCTGGCGCTTCTGCAGCTTCGACATCAGGTTTCTCGATGGACACCGCTTTCAGGGAATTTTGATCAGAACTAGGCTGTTCATTTTTCTCCGGGACGGCCAACGTAGAGGCAGTAGTCTCATAACCATCATCCTCCGGCTTGGAAATTCCTTTGTCTGTTGGAATCTCCGCCATGGTTGCTATTAAGTAGCGGCGTCTTGTTTCTATTGACTCTTACATGCACAGGGAGAGCATGCTATCAGAAGTAGAACAGTCTACCAGGGGCTCCTCTATATAGACTGACAGCGTCACACCAATGCAATAGCTCACCTGGGCAAATTGTCTGGGCAAGGGTCAGCGCTGGGCTACCACACTCTGAATCATCCTGTTTTAAGCTAGTCAAGTAGCGCTGAGTGTGGAATTAGATCGACAGTCAGGGCTCTTGTCAGCACTACTACAAAGGCAATCAGCATTGGCAGTCAGAGCCACAACCGGAATCCCCATTCGTAAGCGTTAACATTGTTGAAATTTTGTGTTCAGCATACCATGCAGAATACTTTGTTAAATTCATGCACATTCGCATCAGGTTGCGCTTCAGCTTTGCCAAAAAAGCATATCTGCGGACGACCCAGCTGGCGATTGCTGTTATGCGGCTGACAGCAGTGGACAGAAACGGAATTTAGATAACATATTGTCAGACAGACTTATCAAGCACAGTCGGTGATCCCTAAGCTCACATGGTCTCCGCATGCGTCGTGGACCAATCAATGCGCAATTCTATAGGCCTTGCCAAGTAGAATTGACACCAAGTTCGTTTAACGTTTCAGCGCGTCTGATTTTCCTCGGGGTTGTAAGGCTGAAAAGACTTGCTGTTGGTAATCAAGCAAGCTGCTGTACAAAAACAGTCCCATTCTGCTAACCCTTTTGATGGGTAGTCCCGCATCAATTGTTGACGGGGCGCGTGGCTATTTACAATGCCCTACTAGTGTTCTTGTTGTCTTTGGTTCGACGTGGCCCGGAGGATCCGGAGGATGTCAGAGGAAGATGAGGCCCCGTAAGCTGACTTCCAAGGCAACTTGAGAAAGGGCCAGTCATCATTCGTGCCAGCATAATGCATACAGGGGTAACAGATCCACAACGATGCCGTATGGAGCGTTCTATACGGATTGCAAAACATCAAATTTAGTGGAATCCTTTTCGGCCCAATAAACGTCATCCATGTGTTAGACTTGTACAAGTCCCTACTCCACCAAATGAAGTGGGTAGGTTATTGATTCGGTAGAATACAATTTCGGAACTTGGGGGCCTCCTCCAAAAGTTTGTTATATATATGTGATGCTATGTGAATCAACGCCACCTTCGAATCAGCAAAATATCCTCTATTTACTCCACTGTATGAAAATAATGTAATAAGTGACCTATCACATTGCCAGAGCACTCTTGTGTTGTCATTGTAGGTAGACTGTTAGGGACCTCGAGACTCATGCTGTGGAAGTTGGTCCTGTCAGAGCAGCCTGCAAGCATCAAAAAGAGTACTATTGATTCAAAACATTTTATCTTGTTAAGTTGGCTACTATGAAGAGAGACAATAGTGTTATATCTCGTTGTATGTTATGGGGTGTATTGGGCAGAGTGATCTGAGCCAAATCTGATCCAATAAACATGTGCCCTATGATAGCAGCAAAGGTACTTGGCACTGGTCTTAAACTGCCTGGCTAGTGTGAAGATCATACAACGGAACGATGACATTTATTTATCAACAGACAGCTAGACAAGACTAACAATCAACTTCTAGAAACTGCAGATCCCTGTGCGTGTGTTTATGTGTACCCTGCGGCAAGAGCGATCGGGATCGGCTTCATAAGGAACAGAAGTGATGCCATTAAAGCTGTCAGTCACATACAGCTTGTGCCAGCTCATTGATGGTTGCTAACAGACCAAGAGAGTTTGGAGTTTTCTGCAGTATAGCTGGTCGTATTATGAGAGATATCAAACGTCAGATGAGGACGAATATCGAGAATTCAACTGTTTTTGAATGAAACCGTAACAGAAAAGATAATAGGTACTAAGTCTCGTTCTATCTGTAATATTTCATCTCTTGGAGATTGAATGCATCGAAAGTAACAAATAGATTGAACGATAGCAGTTAAACAGTAGATGACCATTCTTACTGGGCGTTGTCCTATCTCACCGTAAATTAAAATCTTCCAAGCAACCTAGTCCTTGCACAAACAATTTGTTGAGGACACCAAATCCCAAGATGAGGCTGGTTTGAGACACACTATCTTCAAATCTACAAGAGCATCAACGAGCTTGCGAATATGCTTTACGTGCATCGACAAGAGAGTTTATCTTAACTAAGGATTGGATGAGGGGTTAAGGTGTAGAATATTGTACTATCAGTACACTAGAAACACACAGCGCAAATAGACACTCTCTTTTACTAAATCCCTTATCGATCACGATAAATGCTTGAAGCTATGATATAGCGAATGCTCCAATCAATTCTCTTCCATGAGATTTATTACATTGATACATGGTCTTGAAGCTTGAGCTGTCCGGAAGCCAATCAAATCCAGGTTAATGGCAAGTGACGCAGGGACGATCATCGGACTTTGCCGCGATGTGGGCCTCAAATAAGTGTTGCGCACAAGTCCGCGATAACCAGACGTGCCGTCTAAAGCCAAAAGCGTTCAGTTCGTAGATAAGGTGAAGTGTGCTTCATTACTATGTCACTAAAGGTCATAGGTCGGGATTAATGGGTGGATTCCAGCCATGATCTCTATCTTTTATCTTCAATTCGACATTGGCGAGGGGACAACGACTCAATCTTCTCGACAATCTCTCCTACTCTCAATTACTTTTTTCACTGCTCTCCTCCTTTCATTTTCTCTTCGCCCTGACAGTATCAGATAGTGGTCTCGTCTGTCCATTTTGCTGTCGTCTCAACCGATCACTAGGTTGACCTCTTCTTTTGGATTATCGGCTCATTTTCATTATATCACACCAAATCCCCAACTATTCTTACGCCATGGCCTCCCAATACGAAGAGAAGAGGGCCGGAGATGCAGAACTCCAGCCCAATGTCAAGGATAATCAAGCTGGAGAAGTCGGCTTCGAAAAGGGCGAGGTCGTTACTGCGTCGGGGCATGTCCAAGAATTGGAGCGGAATTTTGTTCGTATAATCTCGACCGCTATAATTTATGTCGTACTAATAATGTCTCAGAGCCTAATCAACATGTGCGCTGTGGCTATCGTTATTGGTAATTGCTGGGCCATTACAGGCGCGACAATTGTTAGGACCAAAACCTTCAACCAAGAAAAGATAACTGACAAGACATCTGCTACAGACACTCTCTATCTATAACGGAGGCTCACCAGGGGTAATATATGAATTGTGAGCAAACAAACTTCAATATTCACGGTAAGCACTAACAGTAAATAGCATTGCCTCAGGGATATTCTATCTCCTCATCACTGTCTCCCTCGCCGAACTTGCTTCCGCAATTCCATCAAGCGCGGGGGTATATCACTGGGCCTCAATTACTCCTGGTCGCCGCGTTGGTCGCGTTGTTGGATTTTTTGCTGGGTATTGGAATAGCTTGGCTTACGCCTTTGGCGGAGCCTCACTAGCCACCATTGCTGGCAGCTCTATTGTTGAGATGTATGCAATTACGCACCCAGGCTTTGAGCCACAGCGATGGCATGTTTTCATCATCTACATTGTTCTCATCTGGGGTTCAGCCTTAGCCCTTTTGTTCGCAAACAGATGGCTACCGGTTATCAACAATGCTCTGATGTTTTTATGCCTCGGCGGGTGGTTCGTTAGTATCATTGCTGTTGCATCTTTGCCAGCGGCTGGCGGCCGAGAATACGCAACATCTGCCTTCGTTTGGAAGGACTGGAAAAATAACACAGGATATGCCAGCAATGGCCTGGTCTTTGTTCTTGGGATGCTCAATGGGAGCTTCAACATAGGCACCCCTGACTGCTCAACCCATATGGCAGAAGAAATACCGCGGTACGCAAGCAGGTTCAACAAAGCCCATCCCCTGTTCCATATCTGATCAATTCTTATAGGCCTGCTATCAATGTTCCTAAAGCTATGGCTGCACAAATGACTAGCAGCTTCATCACTACCTTGGTCTATCTCATTACGTTATTCTACGCTATCACGAATTTTGACAACGTTCTCGATCTCGACGCTGAGTTTCCTCTCACTCCAATTTATTTGCAAGTTGCTGGATCCAAGGCGGGTGCCATTGGTTTGACAGTTGTTGTCTTCCTTCCATTAGTGGGTAGTGTCATGGGCTCCATGTTGACATCAAGTCGTGTGTGCTGGACACTAGCGAGAGACGATGCGGTGCCATTTTCCCGTGTACTGGCTCGCGTTAGTCCTCGATGGAAGAACCCATTCAACTCTATCATTTTCATTGCTTGTTTTTGTTCGTAATTGATGCTTCCCCTTGCTAATGCTTAGCTGACGTTGTGTAGGCACAGTCATGGGTTGTATCTATCTTGGCAGCCACACCGCATTCGAAGCGTTCGCTGGTTCATTCACAGTGCTGACTACTCTCTCTTATCTCGCTGCACTGGTTCCATTTCTTCTTAGGCGTAGGTCCAGTGTCCCTGCGGGTCCGGTATTCATGAAGGGACTTCTGGGCTACGTCGTCAACGTCCTAGCTTGTGGCTTCATGCTTGTCTGGATTGTATTCTACTGCTTTCCATACACAGCTGAGTTCACAGTTCAGTCAATGAATTGGTCGTCTCTTATGACTGGAGGGTTGACCATCCTGGTTGCCATGTGGTGGTGCTGCATTCAAGGACGTTATAAGGGGCCTCCAGTCTTGATGACTGAGTTTTAGTGAACGCCAGGTCGTTAAAATGCTTTGCACACGTCCATCAGCAGAGATTGGATTATAAGCACTCAATTAGGAGCTTCCGATTCTCAAATACTTGAAATCCGGCCGCCTGATACCAACTAGTACATCGTATGGTTGACTACTGTTTGAGTAGCCAATTATTGCAACCATTAAGTAATGACCAAGCACAGTACTTCAAGAGTCATGCCTCCAAATGTCATATTTAAGCATCATTAAACATCTATGTAGTAAGGGATGATGGTGGTGTTGACGAAAGGACAGCCATTGTGACCGCGGGGAAAAGAAATGCAACGAAAATCCAGGCTGGCCAATATCAGCAATCATGACAATATGAAAAGTGTTGATATTAACAATATGCTCTATCACAAAAGGAATCCTCTATCTCTAAAAGCCATGTTAACCCAATCTACATGTCCGACACCAACAAGGACACCCCAGGGACCACGATCAGTATTATCGGCCTAGCAAAGCTTCGTGGTCTTTTCTATATCGTATACGGCGCACGCTTAATGACTTTCTCGATTTGTCTACTCAGCCTTCTTCGAAGCTTTAGTCCTTAATTTCATGAGCACATATACCATGGCGTAAGAGCTGATGGCAAAGATGACCACAATAGCTGCATCCCGCCAACCATAGTAATAATCCTTCAAGTTGAGAGTTCGAAGGTAGTCGCTCCCGCTTCCGTATGGGCAGACCTGGCAGTTAGCTGTTGATTCCGGATTGAGGAGTTTGCTGCCCGATCCTAGCTGCCCCATATATGAGGAAAGGTATTGACCGCATGTGGAACCATTTGGGGGGTCAAAGATGGCAAATTCCCGCTCAGAACAGTCGACTTCCGTGCCCCAAATGTCGAAAACGAGCATGCTCCCCATGAGATAGTTGAAAGGATTCAGCCAGTAGATCCAATACCTCCAAAAGGTCTGTATTTGTTGATAGGGGACGAGAACGCCACAGAATGAAACAAGCAACCCGATAACGAAGGGGTTTGCAAGAGCAGCGAATGTCTCATTTGGAGCGTATGCGGCAATGAACTGACCGATTCCCGTGTACACAAACTCATACATGAGCATAACGAAAAACGTTGCGCCAGCGCGGTCTGATGAACTCGGGAACCCAACCGTGTAATACCAACATACGAAGTACAACACCGCGCAAATACAGAGATAAGGAAACTCTGAGACAATGAGTCCTGTAACGAAAGCAATCCAAGAATACATCTTTGACTTCTTCTCCCTGGTCTCGAAGATATCACGCCGCTCAATGAACAGGGGCTGGAGCTGGTTGATGACCCCTGGAGCGACGAAGATAAAATTGAAGATTGTAAACAGCCGTAGTTGCAGATCGCCGACTGAATCACCAATCATCCAGAACGAGAAGCCGTTAAATAGCGCAGAGAATATGTGGAGGGCGAACTTGTTGTTGATGTAGTCAATGTTACGGAACAGGGATGTGTTCATCCGGTTCGTAACAATCTTAATCTGGTCCCAAAGTGGCATCGCAAACTCATGTCCGTCGTCCAGAGTTCCAGGAGGTCTTCCAGCCGCATCTGCAATGATATGGTCCAGTTCCTTAACCACCTTTTCGTGCTCTGGGGACGAGAGCCAGACCTGGTTCCAGTCATGGCCTTGTGATAAATGGCCGGAAACCACGTCGATCATGTGCTCTGCCGGATTTGCCTCTTCAGGGCAAGGAGCCCCATATCTGCCAAAGTACTCTCGGACCGTGTGTGCGTTGTCACCAATATCGCCGAAATACACAGTTTGCCCTCCTTTGGCCAAAAGCAGGAGTCTATCAAATTGAGCAAAAAGTTGAGCAGAGGGTTGATGAATGGTGACCAAGACAGCTTGACCAGCATCTGCGAGCTTGCGTAAGAAGCGGACAGTGTTGTATGCAGACTGGCCATCAAGTCCAGACGTTGGCTCGTCCAAAAATATGAGAATGCTGGGTTTGGACACTAGTTCGACGCCAATAGTGACTCTCTTTCTTTGTTCCACTGTCAGGCCAGCACCGACATGACCAATCAGCGTGTCGGCTAGATCATGCAGCTCGAGGAGATCGATGATCGTATCAACATATCTGAGCTTCTCCACTCGAGAAACGTCCCGGCCCTGCCGCAACAGTGCTGAAAACTCCAGCGCTTCTCTGACAGTCGCATATGGCTCATGAACATCGAGCTGCTCACAGTAACCTGCCGATCGCTGGAAGGAGACGGGCAACGGCCGCCCATCAACCATTATTGAGCCATGAATAGTTCCTTCTGTTTTCCGTTGCGCAAGAACATCCAGTAGTGTTGTCTTACCAGCACCGGAAGATCCCATCAAAGCACCGAGTTCGCCTGGTTTCACCCAGCCCTGTACGTTATCAAGCAACATGCGGTCCCCTGACGAAGTTTTGACGGTGTATGAGAGATTCTTCCACGTGAAGACTGAGGTATTACGGACAAGGTCCGCTTCACCTGCAGTACGATCGGTTTCCTCGCCAGTGTCTACGGCATTTCCGCCTTCGCCACCTGTAGTTGAACCATCGTGGGCCTGCGCTTCCTCATCTGAGCGAAGAGGTGCCGCGACTTTCGCCTTCTCCCGAGGGATGAGAAGTGAAGGACCAGCTTCCGAAGACGAGCGCCACCTTGATGTTGCGTAGATGGTAATGGCGACAAAAAGTGCCCACCAGGCCCAAACGATGCCGAAATTCCTCCAGACATGGCTGTGATTATACGAGAGAGATGATAAGTATTGATCCCCTGATACGGCCGTCTCGCCTTGGATTGCTCCTCCAACGCCAGCACATGATTGGTGGTTAGGATCTGAATAGCCTGGCCCATTCGGAATGAGATTATTGCCAACACATGCAATAGTCTGACCATGAAGCTCATTCGATATGAGGGCATCGAATGCATACGATAGAGGGTCAATCCAAAAAATCCAGACAAACCAAGGATGCATTTGGGGCTTCTGAATTAAGTATCCGGTATACATGATTGCTGCACTTATAAGAAAACCTGAGACCTTGGATGCTCCGTCGAACGTATCAAAAGCCGCGCCAATAGATCGGAACAGTGCCGTCATACACTACGCTTGATATTAGCCTGCTTGTCAGAGCTGTTTTGACTCGCACTCTTTTACTTACCATAGTCGTCGCCACAAGGATGATCCAGTAAGTGAAGAATGCGCCAGCGCTTGCAGTCAAACCGACCATAAAGTATAGAACGACGGCGAAGATGGTGACTTGGAATAGGATCACTGGTATGTCAGCTGCTACATGCGCTATACAGTAGGCAGACGGGTGGTAATAGGCAAACGACTTGTGCTTAATCAATACCGGTCGGCCTCGAAATGAGTCAGTGACCTCTGACATAGACAGCAAGCTATTATAAAGTAACGAGAAGAATAGAGCGCCTGATTTGACAAAAAGGCCACCCGAATTAGTTGGTGCGTTATAGAAGAGTGATCCGGCAATCAGCGCCTGGACCAGTGTTGATATTTGCTTGATAAGAAATGTCGCTTTATCGCCCCAAATAATTTGGTATTGACGGATGATGCATGCTTTCACCTGAGTGGCAAAGCTGGCTGTGAGTGGGCTACTGGCTGGGAGTCGAGGATGTTTCTCCTGAGAAACGCCTTCCTTGAAGTGGCTTGTTTTTTCCTTCGCTGCATCTGTTGTGGGGAAATCGTATTCGGCAACCATCTTTTCGTATATTGATGAATTCTCGTATCTCTCGCGCAGAGCATCTGCTGACCGAGGGAATGATGATTCGCATTGAGGGAGAATTTTGCGCTCAGTGGGGACAGTAACTCCTGTCAAGTAGTCCGCAACATTTGCACCGTCCTGGCAGACGAATCCCATATCCTCCATGAAAGGCTTGGCCTCTTTCAAAGGACCGTAAAAGATTTGCTTTCCGGCATCGAGAACAAGCACCTTGTCAAAGAGATTATATATACCATTGCCGGCCTGGTAGAGTGTCACAATGCTGGCGAGGCCAAGCACATCCGTCATCGCCCTTATTGCCTTGGTGTACTCCAAAGCCCTAGAAATTAAATTAGTGCTACTAGCTACAACAAGAAGGATAATGAGAAAATCTCAGGTAGTAAAACAGTGCGTGATCAGGGTATATATCATTTCTGACTTACGTGCTGGCATCAAGACCTCGAGTACTGTTATCCCAGCAGAATACTGAGCCGCGGGTAGCCATGCACTCAATAATTGACACACGTTTTCGCTCGCCGCCGGATACACCACGAATAAATTCATTTCCAACTTTAGTATCATGAGTATGTTCAATTCCCATTGACTCGAGTAAAAAGTTTCGGTTCTCGGTCCGGAGGTCTTCTGGGGATTGGATCCCGTGAGGAAGTTTGGCAGGAATCTTTAAGCGAGTGGCGAAGTCCATCGTTTGACCTACGGTAAGAGAAGGAAAGAATAGCTCTTCTTCCGTATTCATGACAATCTGGCCGCGATGTTTTCGTGCTTCATTCGCGTCCATAGAACCGTAGAAGACATCACCGGTCACAGACGCATAGCCACGCCGTCGATTAGCGAGAATACTGAGAAGTGTTGTGCATCCTGACCCAGGCCGACCTAGGACCAGGAGCATCTCTCCGGGCTTCACGCAGCCATGGCTGTTGTCTAGGATCGTCTTCAAGGGAGGCTTGTGTCGAGACTCCTTGACAAGCTTGGGAACGTTAAATTGTGAGGCAACATTTTCATGAATTGCTGCATCGGCGCTGATAGCTTTGACCGTAAGGTCTTGCCAGGTGACACCCAACTCTCGAGGACGAAAACCGGACTGTTGATCTCGTGCTCTTATATTTTCAACGCGTCCCTTTAGTGCCCATGAATTTTCAGCTGCGCTGATGGACCTCTCGTCGTCCGTCAACGTCCTGCTGCCATCTGAGTCCATTTTTACCGTTGCAAAATGTGCCCAGCCAAGAAAATAGCCAGAACAATGAGGACCCAGGTACAAGTCGAATGGAAATTGAAGCGATATCATTTAGAAATAAGAGCTCGTGGACGAGTACTTATCTGATTCGAGAATTTGGCATGCCTAGTAACGATCGGACATCGGGTTCTCAAACACATGTACGAAGGGTCCACTCCAACGGAGCTGGCGTGGGCCTGTTGAAGCCAGAGCCGGCAAAGTTCTTGGCATCATCTTCCCTAGCCGCTTAGTCATTGCATCGCGAATGCCATTCTAAGATTATTTGTGCGGCTGAATCTTCAACCTCGCGCTTCTGAAGTCGTGGGCGAGGCCGCTGAGTCATTACCCGAGGTTCAGCCGCTAACGTAAGCGGCATGGTGTTGCTTTGAACGCCTCACTGGGAATCTGCTAAGACGCGACGCCTGGTGGGGCCGGAGCTCCCAGGCACGCAATCTTGTTTCGGATTGCCTGGAGCATTTACTTGGACTTGAGCAGAAAATACGGCCGCGAAGTTCCGGTTCACTACAAGCTGCATGACCCAGGGTCGGTGCTCGGCCTAACCTTTTGAAAGTCAATCGTTCGCCGCGCCTATAAAACTGGCGAATCTCCAATTACAGTGTATGCAAGCATCCAAAGTAAGGGAGGCGTTGGTGTAGGACCCAGCCCTATGGTTAGTCAGCGGAAGTACCGGCTGGCTTCCTTACCCCGGCATTGGTGTTCGGGGAATTTAATGCCCAGAAACACCCGATCGGACCTTGTCTAGCTCACAATGAAGATGAGGAAGAGCGCGTGTGATGCTTGCCATAGAAGGAAGGTTTGTGCTTGTCCCTGCATATCCTACATCATCAGGTGCCGCCTAACTGGGTCGAGATCCAATGTGATGTAGCCAAGCCCCGGTGCAACTGGTGCATGCATCATGATACACCTTGTACGTTTGACCGCGCTGCCGGAGCAAAGAAACCTCCGAAGACCACAAAGTGAGTTACTCTTTTTTAAATAACCCCATCCGCACGGAAATACAGAGTCCGAGAGCAGAGCGCTACTCTCGTTGCGGTCGCTGCTCTTATGTCATGCCTGTCTCCAACTTAACCTACCAGCTCAAGAGCGGATTGGTTTTATGAGGATAGAAACTCATCATTCTTAGGAAAGTGATAGCGAAGGATGATCTTGGAGAGCGGCTGAATCGCATTGAAAAGGTCCTGGCTCAACGACTACTTAAAGAGAGACGCAACGGTGATGGCGAAGATCGGCAAAGCAGTGGCTCAAATAATGAACAGCTAGCAGCAACTCCGACCTCGAGACCGGCTACGCAAGCGTATGGAGTCTTTTTTGGTAAACTACACTTTGCGGGATATTATCTGGGAGACATCGTGTCGTACAACGGTATCCCGTTCTTCTCGAGCGAGGCTCAGAAATGGATACAGTCCCGAACAGGTGAGAAGGCTGCTTTCAGCACGCTCTTTGCATCTGGACCGCCATGGCAAAAAATGCACGCCGTTCATACATCATTTCTTGTTGGCAATGTTCCCCCGAATTTTGACTTGCCGGAGAGAAGAGCAGTCGAAGAGTATATTTCTCTATATCACTCCTCCCCATTCAAGCTTATCTTCCCTCTCATCGATACCGTCCTCTTCCAACGCGCCATGGATCTGGCCTATGAGCCATGGCAGGGACCACCTTCATTAAGGCCTATCACCGCCAAAGCTTGTATTCTCGCATTTTGCTCCGTTCTTTCATCGCTGAAGGAAGCGGAGGCAACAGTTCCTGCGATAGATGGGGATGACTGCGCTGTGAAGGCGCAATATCTACTTCCTCAGGTCCTTCAGGACACCACCCTGCCCGGTTTGCAGACCATCCTCATGATTGTAAGATGGACATCTCTGCAGTGTTCTATGTGGCATGCAGCATGCTAACTTGTATGAAAGTGCATGTACAAGCTCTTCGCCGGCCAGCTTCAAATCGCAACTCTCTTCCACTCTCTTGCATGCCGACTCGTATATATGCTAGGTGGGCATACGCTTTCTGGTCCTGATATTGCTCCTAATCAGTCAGCGGAGGAAACAGACTGTTCATGGCGGGTTAAACGCCAGCTCCGTAAGCTATTTTGGCTGTGCTATACATTCGACAAGGATATATCCCTCCGCACAGGCCAGCCGCCATCAATGGAAGATGAGAATTGTGACCTTACGCTTCCAGATAGGTACATGGAGGTACAATATATTGAAAGAGACTGGGAATCCGAAGCGGCCTTCATGGACGACACAGATGTCTCCCTCCTTCCAGGAGACCTGCGCATGAGCATCCTCAAATCTAAAGTTTACAAAGCGCTGTACTCGGCTGAGGCCCTTCGAAAATCCGATGCTGAGCTTTTAAGAGATATTCGGAATCTCGATGATGAGCTTGAGAGTTGGCGAATATCCCTCCCCCCGAAATATCAACCTATCCTTACTTTCCCTCAACAAGGGCGACGCCGACATCATGTGAAACCTCCAACAAGTATGCAGATTAGTGTCATACACTTTGAGTACTACTATTTATTTGCCGCAATTCATCGCGCTAGTGGTCGATGTCGTGCTTGGGCAAAAGGGCAAGGTGGTGAGATGAAAGGTGTTAGTTCCAGTCTCGCATTATCCGTAGAGGCAAGCCGGTCAACGCTCTTCTATCTTCGGAGTGCGATCCAAGCCCTTCATGAAGATGCATTCTGGTAAGTAGACTTTTCCTCGATTAGCTACTATACTTCACTTGCAGAGATTAATTTCCTTCAGGATGACTGTTTTCTATCCCGTATCTGCAGTCCTCACCATCTTCTGCAACATTATACTAAATCCACTTGACTCACGGGCTGTGGATGATTTAGAACTGCTTAGCTCCACTCCGGAGCTCATCAAGAGTATGCGAATGCGCCAGTTGACAGTCGCAGAGATCGAGCATATGCAATTAGTGGATACCTTCGTGGCGGAGCTCATCAGACTTGGAAATTGCTCTATCACGAAGGCTCATCGAGATCTTCCAGTTGACCATTGAGATTGTCATCATTCAAGGTCTTAGCATGATTCATCAATAAGTATCCTGGCAACCAATAATTAAGATACGACTTGTAGATGAGTGGGACGCGGATAAGGAGTTGTGGTTGGAGATACAATCCCGGGCATCTTTTTTTTCAGGAACATGAAAAGGCTCTAGGGAGGGCTAGAAATGGGTTATGGATAAAGTCTAATTCTTTCTCTCAATAATATTTGGTGAGACGTTGGGGTAGATGAGAGACCGTGAGCTTTTAAGCATATAACTCACTATTTTCAATCTCCACTGCAGAAACAGTAGCATGAATAATTGAACCCTCAGCCGAAGCAGTTGATAGTTCCTTGCTGACTTCAGTAGCCTTCCTCGATGAGATATGCTACGACTTAATATTGTCAATTTACAGAATAAGACACTTCTTTTGGGCAGATAATAAGGCATGTAGTAAGCAGTCAATAACTCGGGTAGCTACCAAGGGAATCTCAGCAGGTAAATTGTTGCCCCTTTGCAGATAGCCAAATGTCTGCACACCGAACCTCATATACAATCGTGAATAATCTGATGAAGAACTCCAAGTTTGCTTCCTTTCAAATAACTGGTAATAAAATATTTCATAGGCCCTGGACCTTAACTACAATTCTTTTGTCGATCTTAGCACCTGACTGGACGTGCTCAAGGGCATTGATGAGCCCATTCCACCCATTCTCTTCCCAAAGCTGACAAGAAATGGGTTGTATCGTCCCACCGTCTAGGTGAGCCTGAAGGGAGGAAACGAAAGCTGCAGTTTGATTCGTGACTTTCTGGCCGTCAGAACCTGTTCGCCCCAAGACACCAACATGAACGCGTGTGACATTGATGCCAGCTGGGATAGTTATGGGCGACCTGTAGTAAGTCACATTAGTCTGAAATGTCGGTACAGTTCACAGTAGCTTCTAACCAATCATCGACAGAGCTGAAGTATTTTGTCGTTGCCGTGGAAAGAGTTCCCAGTGCCGTTAAGGCTAAGTCTGTGCCGTACGCGCTGGCATCGAAGACCAGAGCAAAATGCCCTCCTGTTATGTTTTTGATCTCTTTGAGCTGCTCATCAGCTGAAGCTCGGTTATCCACTGTTGCATTGGCACCCATTTTCTGCACAATCTAACACTATATGAGCCAATTTCATAGAGATCAATCGAGCATCATACCAATGCCTTGGAAATAGAGCAAGTGGCCAATACTTTAAATCCACAAAGGCCGGCCAGCTACGTTGATCTTAGCATCTCGACAAGGAGTCAAGGACAATTGCTTTTGGGCATTATTATGCTTACCTGGACAGCATATTGGCCAACGGTCCCACTACCACCGATAACAACGAGCCACTCATCTCTTTTACTGGTATTTGTGCCATAATCAGGGACACTCAAATGACCACCTTCGATTATCCCAAAGGCAGCTGTCTGTTTGTCGTTTCAGGTCAGCTTCAACGCATTAGTATAAGGAAGCTTACTATCAAACCGACACCGACAACACTGGCTTCCTCCATGGATATTCGCTCTGCTTTTTTAAAGAACAAATCCTCATCCGCCAAGAATGTTTCTTGGTACGGCGCATATGCGTTCGAACCCAATCTTACCAATCCATACACACAGTCACCTGACTTGTACCTTGAACATCCAGGACCAGTCTCAAGTACAACTCCGCATGCCTCAGCACCAATAGTTGCAGGCCACGAGGAGACAAGCATGCCATTTGCACGACATAGCTCATCACTCCAGGTAATATACACTATCAACATCTCGCAAAAACAAGAAATGAGTTGTAGGGCTTTAACTTACACAGGATTCAGCCCCACGACCAAGCTTTTAACAAGTATTTGTTTGGGCCCAGGGCTAGGACGCATTAGTGTGTTGACGAGCTCATAAGAAGCGCCAATAGAAGCAAGAGACAGCCCCTTCTGTGACGCCATTACAATTACAGTCGCGAAGAAACGGTTGAAAGTAGACAGGCCGTTTAGCAATCATTCAAAAGATGAAGGCAATGTAAGGGGGTCTTGAATCATATATACGAAGTCCGGACCCAAAATCTCAATTCCCCTTGTTTCTATCTTGGAATGGTAGGGCACTCATTATACACGGATTTAATGAGGGGTTGCAGGATATGAGAACATAAGACGGCGAGATGTTGTTCCTCCGTTTTGGCCCCAGGCATTTTCTATTCCTGGAGCCAACATTCGTGTGCCAGAACCAGCATGTAAAAATGAAGCTCAAACGAGATTCGTATGTATGATTGGCGAAGCACATGCCATGGCCATCACAACCAGGGATACTGTGACATCCTATTGAGCTTTGCCGCAGGTCTGATAGCAAAAAGAAGCTCTAGATCAATAGTGACACCAGCATAGTGATGTAAGTAATGCCTTGTCCTCCTAATGGTGAGAGTAGATGCCACCTATGTAATCGTGACAACCTTGTTCGCGACCGAGAAGCTCGTCTCATACATACATCGCCCCTGGTCACAATTGGCGTGGAAAACGAGTTGCCTTCCACCCACAATGCTTGTCGCACCACCTGGAGCAGTTAGTCCATTGTTTCCGGTAACAAGAAGCGGTGCACTGCTTTTTGTATATGGCCCAGTCAAAGTGGACGAGGTAGCATAGCTGATATCAGAAAGCGTTGTGGAATAGCAATTGGAACTGAAAAATAAAATAAACGTTCCGTCACCAGCCTTGATTAGACTCGGGGCTTCGATGAGAAGACCATCATACTGTCCACGATCCAAAATTTGAATGGGCGAGCCGATTTTCTTGTAGCCATCCAGAGATAACTGCTGAATCATGATCGGAGTACTCACAATCGGCTCAACTGTGTTGCCACAGGAACCTCCGTGGCCGATACTATTCCCATCCACTTTATACACAAGCCACCGTGTATTGGTGGCCTCATCAAAATAGCCGTTGGGATCAATAGCACCACCTTGATCAATTGGACAGGCAATAGGTTCGTTGACAGCAGTGTAGGGTCCTGTGATGACACTGGAAATAGCAGCACCGACGCAGTGATGGTTGGTATTTGCTGCATATGGTGCAGCGTAATAGATGACAAACGAGTTGGAGGCGGCAAGATACCTAACATCAGGTGCCCAAGATCCAGTATTTGGGAGGATGTCAATGTCGAGCCACGTCCAAGGGCCAGTGGCGGAAAGTCCTGATGCAACCTGCACCTTCTTGCCAATGCCAGCTGTCGCAAACGTGTACCAGTTGCCAGATTTGGGGTCATTGAGGATGGCTAGATCTAGAAAGTCTTTGGCGAGTACCTGTGATGGTGTCGTCAAGACAGGGGATGCCGAAATGGTAAGAGTGATCAGGCATTTATACAGGTGCATAGGAATGGTAACGAAGTTGAACAATTGTACCTCGGGCGTCTATCGATTCATGGAGAGTCAAGTACTAACATGCTTAAAAGGGTCTAACACTCATTACTGCATCACTTTATAGACGCACCTCTGGCAGATCAATTGGCACAATATCGCCCACAAGTCTCGTCACCACAAACAAACGTTGCGTTCGTTTCAATGTGACAGGTTGTAGTGCTGTTTCGCAAAAGAAATCCCCATGAAAGCCATTACGCCGAATTGACATCTCACTAAGCTGAAGGAGGTCGGATGGCCGAGACTACTATAATAGTACTATTACAAGATGGTAATAAACCGGGGTTGTAACTTTCCGTAACGTGCTACCTGTGTTACGATGGCCTAGCTCGATCCTTCTAAACGGAGTCCAGCTCCGTACCACGATGCGTAGCAACGTGGCAGAAGATACGGTCTTGATACAAGCTTCGAAATTAGGATTTAGAAGGATGGTACAAACGATAAATTGTTGAATATCAACCATGGAAGAACGTTCAAGATGATCATGATTGGATGTTGAAATATCAAACACGATAGAGTGCAAGCCATGGTACAATCAAATCTAATCGACATTAGAGTACAATGACCATTTTTCGACCAAGCTTCCTATGCGATGCGGGGTATTCTGAGAAGCAGAATGGGAAGAGAGACAGCGCACCATCAGACACAATCGCTGTGCGCCGAGTTCATTCGCTCCCGGTTTCTCGAGTCACCCGTCTTGCCTCTTCTTCTTTCTTCTCCAACGCGCCAGGTTCACTAGCATCTACACCAAGTCTCATAGCCTCAGCAACTTCAGCAGCCGGTCCAGTAAACCAGCGACGTGCCCACAGAATCCAGGTTCCAATGGCGCCTATCGCAATGATTCCCACGGCAACAACTGTGTAATTCAGTGTCTGGTCCGTGACTGGATTCGTTGCAGGGAGGCAAAAGACAACAGTGATAAATCCAATCCAGGCGCATGCCACTGCTGCGATTGGCCGTGAGAATGCCTTGAGATTAAAAGGGCCTTTCATGGCCACGAATGGTTTATGCCAAATAAGACCAATTAATATGGGCAGCCCATAGCTGATATAAAGGCCGATGGTAGCAATAGAGGTCGCCGCAGCGAAAGCAACCGAGGAGCCTAATGATGGCAGGGCGAGTATAAATGACAATGTTGCGGCCAACCAGACGGTGCGAATCGGGGACCTGAAGCGAGCATCAACTTTGTGGAAGAAAGGGTGCTGTTGTACGATTAGTCTGCTTGCGTTCAGCTGTCGGGGTATGACCTCTTACAATTCCACCATCTCGAGCAAATGCGAACATCATACGACTATTACTAGTCATACTAAAAAGCCCACAATGCCAGACACAGACTACAACATGTCAGTGCTTACCGCAGATTTCTACCAGTGTAAGACTTACTGATGATAAGACTAAACAGCGCCAAAGCCCCCTTCTCTCCAGCAATGTCCACAAATATCTGGAGGACTGGCTGTCCATATTCACTATTGAGCGTCGTATCAAAGTCCTGAATGGAGAACAGGAATGCCATGAGAACGAAAAAGCCGAACAGAGAGCTGAAACCGACGCTGGATACAACACCTATGGGGGCACTCCAGCTGGCCTTCTTCGTCTCTTCAGACAGATGTGCAGAAGCGTCGAATCCTGTTAAAGTATATCTGAACAGAGGTCAGTAAGTCTCCAGGCAGAAAGAAGACATCTTTCGCAGGGAAGATGCCCGGGCACACCTACTGGCTCATCAGAGCACCGCAAATTGCAACATAGGTCGGACTAGCACGGATACTCCACCCAGGGCCGTCGCCGCCAGTACCGTCATAGAACGTACTGAACACGAACGATGCGGGCTTATGGGTCGGCGCTTTTGCAAGTACTGCAATGCACAGAACCGTGACACCGACGGAATGCAAGAAGATAGATACGTTGTTAAGATATCTGAGCACGTGGACGCCGAAAGTGTTGACGAGGCCGTGTGAAACGAGCACAGCTGCGTAGATGCCGATGGTTTTGGCTGGCGAAGGTTCATAGCTCGGATTCTGAACGGTAGCCACAGTGGCGATCAATCCGGCTAGACCAAATGAGATTCCTGTCGTGACGGCCACCTGGCCGAGGAGATTAAACCAGCCTGTCAGCCAAGCTGCGAATGGTGACCACCGCGGCGGGGCCAGCAGCGCAGCCCAGAAGTACGGGCCACCACTGGTAGGTATGGCAGACACAATCTCAGCCATCGCAGTGGCAACCATGAGGGTGAAGAAAGAGACTATGATCCAGCCCACAGACATGACTGTCTCGTATGAGCAACAAGTTGCTGAAGGTAGGCTCTAAGCAGAGAACTTACCACCCGGACCGCCGGTGTTGAGTCCGTAAGAGAAGAGTGTTGTGATTCCAGTGATAACACTCTGCATACGGAATTAGCGGGCAGGAAGAACTTCGAAGCGATTGATGAGGTAAAGAAGAGAGAGCGTTGACTCACGATAATGGAAAAGGACACGCCAAAGTTGTGAGCCAGGCCCCAATCACGCCGTAGTTCTTGTTTGTATCCGAATTGTGCCAGGCGCCCCTCGTCGCGCTCCTCGTCCGAGTTGGAGGCGCGACGCTCAATGGGTGGTTCCTCCGCCATTGTTTCAATTGGCGTAGTTGGAGGTCGAATCTTTCTTGCCGCTTTGTCGAACGCGTTGAGAGCCTTGAGTTGCGCTGAAACCGGGATGCAAGCGCTTCAAAGCAGTGTTGTCCCTCACGGTGAGGCAAGAAAGGTCTGCGGTGGCAGCAGGATACTGGAGAGTCTAGAAGGTTACATCATACCTGAGATCTCTCCTCCCGAATGGGACAGGCGGTATTTAACTGAGCATGCGAGCGCCGCCGGTCACCTCTGGGTATGTCAAGCTACCTTACCAGAATGCTCACGCGTATACATGCGTCAAACCAATGACAAAAGCTGCATGGCATCCCTGGAATGATAAGGAACGGCCGATTATGATAATGAAATGAGAGATGAGAGATACAATGGACAAATGCTACCCGTCTGATCTCCACCAGTTGCCAGATCAGCAGGTAGGCGTTCGTGGGCCATCCTTGGGGGACCTGGATACCTGGGTACAGTACCTGGATATGGTCGGTGGCTCCGAGGAGCCAATCGTTTCCATTACGCAGCCGAAACGTCTTGTCTTTTGCTAATCGAGCTTCTAGGCGAATTGCCAGTTGACAAGCTCATCAAGCTTCTCTATCGGGCTTGAGAAGGCCCCGCTATCGCTGCTTAGCGGGCTCTTGGGGATGCTTATCTCTCCGCGTCGACGCATGCCGAGCTCGACATTTCCCGAGAGGGTAAGGTTGGCCCTCGATGAGCGGAGCCATCCGCCAATGCGCCCTGCCACCAGCACTATCTTCAGTGGGGGCTATCATGAAGTGCCGCGGTAGTGCCTAGGCCGTCCGTCCACGTAGTGTAGTGTCGGCTCCAACGAAGACCCAAGATCTCATTCAGGGACACCCAGAGACTAGACGTGGAACTACCATGTGCTTACAGTGGTAAGATGCACACGAGCGAGGCGCATCTGTCTTCAAGGCCTACGGTATAAAGTAACCCGTCCTTCCCTACTTCCGTGTATTCGGCGGTGGTAGGCCAACCTCGGCTTGGCTACCTGCTAACCTAAACGACTAGCTGCACCGTTTTGAAATTGGACCTTGTTATGCTTGGAGTTATTGTAACCTTGAACAAGTCTATGCCATCTATGTAGGAGTAGGATGTGATAAGATCAAGAAGACCAATACTTAGATAACTCGGGCCGTCAGGATTGGATGTGGTCTTGATTGAACTCATGTTTCAAAGCCCGCCAAGGCTGATCTTGATTGTTAGGGCTTATCAGTCACACCACCACTGTAAGGTTGAGTCCTTATAGGCTTATACCCACGGATTCAATGTGTGCTCAGTGATGTGATGTGATGCACACCTGAATTCTTGGCTCTTCACGGCCGAATTTCTCACCTTTCAGATATACATGGAAGCTATTTCCCCTTTCCCACGGCCAACTCTTCAAATGATGTACCGAAAGCCTCTCGGGGTTCGAACATTATCCTCCTGATGGTCCCCCCCTTCGCGGAATGCCTTGTCAAGTTGTTTGTTCTCTCGCCACAGCAAGAAGCTGAAAATCGCTGAAATAACTCCTACCAAGAGGCAAAAAGCCATGGATATCAAAGAACCTTTCCTGTAATACGGGCCCTCGCTCGCTGGGAAGAGATTCGTTCCGACAAGAGGACCACATTGCCCCAAGGTTGCAAATATCGCCCAACCCCCCGTCCTCTTGCTTTCTGTGCTGTGGATGTTGGATACCCATGATATAAGAAGTGCTATGGAGACGAAAATCGTGATTGCCAAATAGATGCCGATATATCGAGGAGCCGGAGCTGTTGTAGTCGCCAAGAGAATGAATCCGACGGCAGCCACAAATGCAAAGAAAGTGACAAATGGGCCGCGTAGGCGAACTCGATCGGACGTGAAACATACGACAATGATCGTAAAGAAGCAAAGTAGATATGGCGGAGCAGATAATCCATTCGACTGGATCCTCGAAAAAGCGCCAATTTCTGCTATGATTGTGGGAACGAACAGAGGCAAGGACGCAAAGGAAACATTGCATGAAAAATACATGATGCCGGGTAGGTAGCCTGAGTCGTCGATTAGCATACTTGTCACTATAGTCTCTTATGTGTAAGACATGATGCGTCATACTTCTCCAGTCAGTGAAAGCCGACTGTAATTCTCTCCATCTCAAGCCAGCATGCTGTTCTGTGTCGGCAATCTGGCCGCGTTTGATACAATGAACTGCTATAGCCTTCTCTCTGTCACTTAGAAAGTTGGCTTGGCTTAAGTTATCAGGAAGAAAAAAGAACGCGACAACGACCATGACATAGGTTGGCAGGCCCTCTATGAGAAACAAGATTCGCCAGGACTCTAGGTGGCTCTTGATTTTCAAAATGGCGTATCCTAGAGCACCACCATAGGCATTGGCCAAGGCAGACCCGGAGAGAAATATGCCTTGTCGAAAGCCAACGTTCGTCCTTGGGTAGAAAAAAGACAAATACAAGGGAACACCGGCATACATGGCCTCGAACACTCCGAGTAAAAATCTCAGCGTCACTAATCCTGCATAATTGTGCACCGGGGCCTGTATTGATGAGATTGACGACCATGTAAACACAACACACGGGCACCAAATATGAGCCGGAAATTGTTTCCATCCTGCTGCAGTCCACTGCGAAAGAATATCTGAAATATTGTCAGGGTCGAATCCGAGCATTGGTTGTGCCGTAATAACTTACAGCCAATGTAAAAAACAGTCCCCAACATGTTGTAGTTTGAACTGCTCAGATTTATACTCTCGTCCAGCCCGGCTACATGGGCATTTCCGAGATTGGATCGATCCAGAACTGACAGCATATAGATGGTAAATATGATTGGCATCAATCTCCAGTCCATCTTGCGCAGAACAGCGGCTTCCTCGTCTGCAGTGGGGACGACGAAGCTGTCATGGCTTGTGTCCTCTGCATGTTCGGCCTTCTCAACAGAATGCACTTCGTGTTTCGTTCGAATAGCTTCCATGTCTCATCAAACAAAAAGGCCAACAGACGATGCTAGTAATCTGGAATAGAGTAGCGATGAAAAAATGATTGATATGAGGGTATTATAGCCGTTCCCATCAGTCCCCGCCATGATCGATTGTCATATGCCTCAATGATCATCATAGACCATGCCTTCATTGGCTAGAAGTGTACGTCGATAAACATGACACATGATGCGGGGAAGTTACTGCCGGCGAGTCTCCCCGGGGTTTATGCTCGGGTACTTTTGTCTTGAATATGTGTTAGCCAGTAAAATTGCTATGATGGGTCGGACGCAGTGCCTCGTAGCATGCAGAACGTTTAATCAGGGAACAAGGTAGTACTCAAGCATGCCGGAAATATTTGACTGCTTGGTCGGAATGTCTCTACTGTCGTTTTTGGGGAGTTGTCGAGTGGCCGACGTTCCTTACCCATAAGAGAACATGATCGGCAGGCAGAAGATGAGGAGTGCGAACTGCAAGTAACTGGGATGCCTATAGATTTATATCTGAATGCAATATAGGTTCCAGCCGACTACAGATGTTTCTGTTTCTTCTGCAGCCGTATAATCACCATTTGACCTATAATTACAGTGTAAAATGTTGTATGAAGAGATTTTCGATGTCGTGGTAGTGGGAGGAGGTAACGCTGGCTTCTCGGCCGCGACCACAGCTGCGCAATCTGGAGCTCGGGTTTGTGTCGTCGAAAAGGCTCCCTTTGATGATGCCGGAGGGAATACATACTATACGGCAGCAGGATACCGGTGTTGTTTCGATGGGCTGCAGGATCTGTTGCCTTTCCTCTTCCAGCCCGATGGGACAAAGGGCCTGCCCAAAGACCTCATTGCAAAGATCGAAATGGCACCATATACGAAAGAACATTTCCACGCTGTACAGATCCCTCAAGCACCAGAAATCTTCAATAAGTATGTACTTATGATTCTCAGGACATCAATAGAGTAACAAAGGGCCGCGCCGATCCGGTACTGGCAGCTGTACTAGTTGATAATTCTCGAGCTGCCCTACAATGGCTCATCGACAACGGAGCGCGCTTCATGTTATCCTTCAACCGCCAGGCGTTTCTTGTCGACGGAAAGTTCAAGTTCTGGGGTGGAATGGTAATGAACATGATTGGTGAGTCCTAAAGATTGCTTTATTTGGTGTTATCCACTCAAAAAGTGTAGGTCAAGGCAAAGAACTGTTTGCTTGGCATCTAGACGTCGCAATAAAACACGGGGTAACCGTATACTTTGATACACCGGCCATTGAGATCATTACCGAGACTATCACGAACGAGGTCTTGGGTATCAAAGTTTTGCGAGACGGCAAAATAAGCAGTATTGGGGCTAGAGGGGGCATAGTACTTGCTTGTGGAGGATTCCAAGCCTCGCCTGCATTGAGAGCGAAATATCTTGGCCCGGGTTGGGATCTAGCCCATGTTCGAGGAAGCAGATATAATACCGGCGACGGCCACACGATGGCTCGTGACATTGGCGCAAAACTTGAGGGGAACTATTCGTCTTGTCACTCCGTTGCCTGGGATGGAAATTCCCCTAGGTCATCTGGAAACAGGACATTGACGAACCAGTACACAAAATCGGGCTATCCACTCGGTGTCATGGTGAATGTAGAGGGCAAGCGCTTCGTCGACGAGGGGTTTGACCTTCGAAATTTCACCTATGCCGTCTTTGGTAAAGAAATACTTCGGCAACCACAGGGTATCGCGTTTCAAATATGGGATGCCAACGGATCCAAGTGGCTGAGGAAGGAGGAGTATGCCGATGATGTGACGACGAACTTGAGAGCAGAGACGATTGAGCAGCTAGCGGATAGTCTCGTGCTTAAGGGGCTGAGGAGTAAAAAACAATTTTTGGAGACTATCGATCAATATAATATTGCATGCAAGGCATTTCGAAGGGCCAATCCCGGTAGGAAGTTCGATCCTGCAATTCGTGACGGGATGTCGACTCAAAGCGAGTGCCACTCTCTTGAAATTGGCAAAACCAATTGGGCAGTTCCAATCGAGAAAGGTCCATTTCAAGCCGTCGAGGTTACCTGTGGAATTACCTTCACCTTTGGTGGACTGGCTGTGACGCCAACAGGCAAGGTTCTAAGCGAGGCAACTCTCAGGCCAATTCAGGGACTTTGGTGTGCTGGAGAGATTCTTGGTGGACTCTTCTGGGACAACTACCCTGGAGGAAGCGGGTTGATGATGGGAACTGTGATGGGAAGAATTGCTGGAGAGGGGGCAGCAAAGAGGGCCAGTGAGAAAAAAGCAACGATCCATCGTACCCATTTTCATTTATAAATTCAGGATCAGTGTTCCAAGTTAATCGCGTTGTGCTGACTAGATTGACCCCTGGTTGTACTAGATGGATCTTCGCATCAATTTCGTATGACTCAGGGAAGATTTGAGGTTTGGATCGATGTCTCGAGCAGCATGATTATTGTGGTCACCCAGCCACTTCGCGAATGTACGAGATTGCATCAACCTAGTGGTATCTAACTCAGTTACTGAAACTGTAAATTCTGGAGACTATTGACCGTGCCGCGCCGAGGGTTCGATATGTACAAACGGGGGTTGTTGTACTAGTCATCAGGAGTGTTGAGTCTGCTTTTCGAGTAAACCAGTCGTTGTTCAGCAGTCTCCTCCTGGTCCTCCTTACCGAATGTTGTAATACTGAATTCAGGAACTCGTCGCGTCTCCGCTCGCAGCAGCCCCGCCGGGTTCAGTTGTTTGCGTCTCCTGCTTTGTTCCTCCCTCTCCTCGGCCTCCATTGTCTTCTCTTCTTCCTCGCTCAACATCGTACCCACGATGCTTAGATATCCGTGATCCCCAACGCGGCCGATCTCAAAATCTCTGATTCTGAACAGCAATGTACCGCGGACAGCGTTCCCAGACGCATCCACCCAGTAACCTGTTGTGTGCATTTGGTGAAGAGACTGGTTTTCGTCGGCAAAGGTATCGTCACGCAATTGTCCATCAGCGCTCTCGACTGGCTTTATGGCGCCATTGCCTTCCTCTGAGTCGGCATTAAGACAATCGATCCACTTCCAGCCGGGAGGCAGCCGTTTAGCATCGATGCTGGCAGAGAATTTCTCCCAGCAAAGAACTCCGACATGCCCTTCATTCTGGAGATTGACCCGACCTTCCATCCAAGCGCCTCGAGTGGGAACAAACAGAGAGACCTGGAGGCGCATAAGTCAGCACATACACACGGACTAGATAGCGGAACAGCCATTTTTGTATGATGGGAGACTACCAACTCACATCCACTGTTAGCCAGCCGAAGCCGACAGCATATTCATCGATTGATTCTAGTATGGCGGGCGTGTCGTCTGCCTGAGGAGAGCCGCGGGTGGTAGGACGATGTGCTATGGAGACATTGCTATATCCGAGAACCACACCTCGAAGCATAGGCGAATAATGATTGACTAATGGTTCCAGATGTTGCTTGGCAATACTGCTGATAGGTGTTGCAAATCCGGCAGGATATAGAGGAAGATATAGGTATACTTTTTGGGTGAAAAAGGGAAAACTGGGTGTTGCCGGGGCGTTGACAGGCTGGAGATGTGACTTTGTTGGCACGTCAATGTCCATGAAATCAACGTCTGCAGGGGGCGCGACTAAGTCCTTGTCCCGCTGTCTGCTCTTGTCTTTTCGCTCTTCGGCCTTCCCGGTCGACGAACGACGGCTTGCTTCCATAGCAATGTTCTGCGCGCCATCCGCATTCTTCCGCTTCTTCTTCTTCTTTTTAAGCTCGATGTGATCTTCTAAACTCCCTGTATGGCGTAGCTCAAGATCGGAGGGGTTGGCTGCCGCTTCTATGATGTCTTGGCCATGCATATTCTTCCGAGACTTCTTTTTGCTCTTTGTATGCTCCTCCATAAATCCGGTAGATGGATGCTCTTCCGCGACACTCATTCTGCCGGCCGTGCGCAGGGCAGTCGAGTCCTTGGTCATGCCAGGAGCAACGTCGACAGGATTGTGGGCTTCGTCAATGGGAACCGCCTCGCTCCTTCGAGACTGCTTAGACTTCTTCCGCTTGTTCTTCTTGCGCTCGACGTCGCGGATCTCCAGAGCCAGCTGCGCATTGGGGGATGTGTCGCCAGTTTCGTCATTGGTCTCGTCGCTACCTTGCTTCCTATGCTTTTTGTGTCTTCTGGGCGCGTCGCCATCGTCGCCGTCTCGGGCTCGCTTACGGTCTGACTTGTCCTTTTTATGTCGTTTCTCTGATTTAAGGCCGTCCATGTCGGTGGCTGAGGCCGGCTGAACCGAGGGATCAGAGGGAGCCACGATGGAAAGAGCGCTCCCCCTCGCTGCGATAGTGGCGTACTCTTCAAATAAAAGGCGGTTGTCAAGGCTGTCTGTGGTAGTGAGCGATGGCTCTTGTAAACGGAGAGCCCAACTTTTTTTTAACCCCCGTAAAGTCGACTGGCAGAAAAATTCGCGGCAGGGCAGTTGCAGGTCGAGGAGGTGGCGGCTAGCAGCTCCTACTGGACGAGACTTTCACCGCCTATTTAGTACAACCTGGGATCCCCCAGGATTACCAACGTTCATTCGCACACAATAATATCACTGGCTTTCCTTCTGCTTGAAAGGTCACTTTCTCACCAAATGAGCTGGACGAGTTACCTGCTGATCTCTCATGTACTCTCAGAGCCTACTTCAGAAGTGATCAGAGGTGTTTGCCAACAGTACGAAAGATACAAAATTTTCTGACCACCCTTTATGGAAAGAGCACGTATCTCCTAGCTTCCGCATTAACGTTGATAATCCCGGTGGATTGTCTTTACCCAGGTACGTATCTACTTGGGTAGCTTAGCTCCTTAGCCTCCTGTCCTTAGGTGACCCCGCCACGTACAATAACTGAATTAGGTATGCAAGTAAATGATGGACCAATTCGAAGTCCATCTGCAGGTCGCGAATATGGTGCTCGTCGAGAATTATTTGCCAGCAAGCAAGCTTCCAAGATCCTCGAGATAGTAGGCGGGTCCCATGGCTCGCTGAATAGTCAGATTGATCTCTTTTCTGATTGACTGTGGCCGACTAATTAACCAACGAACTGTCGCAGCTGGGTATTCAGACATCCTCAGGTATATTCAGATTAAGCCTTTCTTCTTCCCCGTCTTCATTCCCTGGAGCGGAACCCTAGGATTCATGGTGACTAAGCGCTGGCTCGTGGAAAACGAGGGGCATACCTGCCAATCCCTCTCATGTGCTCCGCTGATGTTAGTAGGATAGGGTCCTTAAGCATGTAATGTATCTAAGTAGGTATTTAGGTAGCTAGGTCCTTGAACTTTTAGTTCCATGACGTGCGTGCTAGACAGGATGGTACTGTAGCCGGCCAAAATTGCGTGCGACACATAGATAGGTCTGCAGACATGCTTCCCCTCTGCGGAGTGTCGTGATCGCGATATCCACTTATTAGTCCAGCTGTAGAGGACACAAATTCCTACTTTCCTATTATATAATATCTGCCATCTAATCTCGGCCCTGACACGAAGATGGAGAGTCAGCTCTAGCAAGTATATGTATACACATACGCGACAATTTCCACTCTTCCGCGTTGAGTGATCGGAAGAACAACCTGTCGGGCGTCGGGCACGTTCTTTGCCAATCGTCCCTAAATCATCAGGACCGAGCCGTGCTTAAAGTCGAAGAGTTGGACTTATACGACAATCTTGTACACGCTCGTCACTAGAACCTTTGTCGGCCGTGACATCATCATGGCAACCTTTCGACCATCACATATTCTTCTATTTGGCGCGACTGGCAAAATCGGCAAGTTCATCACTGAGGCCGTGATCAATGCGAAGCCGTCGTTTGATCATCTGGCCATCTTCACTTCACCGAGCACCGTTGCTAACAAGCCCGACCTTCTGAACAAATGGAAGTCGGAGGGCGTCTCGGTGATCGTAGGTGACGTGGACAAAGACGAAGATGTCAGGGCAGCCTATGACGGTGTCGATACGGTTGTCTCAGCCGTCGGTCGCGAAGCCATTGACAAGCAGATCAGGCTCATCCGGCTAGCCGAAGAGTCAGGCTCTGTGAAGTGGTTCTTTCCATCTGAGTATGGCACAGACATTGAGTATGGGCCCCAGAGCCCTGATGAGAAGCCTCATCAAAAGAAGCTGGCTGTTCGCAAGTTCATCCGCGAGAACGTGCAGCACCTTAAGATCACCTATCTAGTAACGGGGCCGTACTTCGACATGTGGGCTCACACCACCGCAGGAGCGGAAGAGGCAGGCGGCTTTGATGTCAGGCACAAGGAGGCAGATCTCGTCGAGGACGGTGAGGGCAAGATTGGCTTCACCACCATGGCCGAGTAAGCAGCTAAGATCCCCCTTATCCTCTTTCAAGTGGCTATGTGTTAGCATCTAAGCCGACGAAGCTGACCTGCGACTCGTTACACAGCGTGGGCAAACTTCTCGTTGCAGCATTGCAGCACCCTGGGGCGTCCTTCAACCAGGCCCTCAAAGTCCAGTCGTTTGTAGTGACACCCAACCAGGTGGTGGCGGAGTACGAGAAGCAGACTGGGACTAAGTGGAAGGTGTCGTATACATCTCTTGACAGGATCAGAGAACTGGAAGCAGAGCTGTGGGCGCGTGGCAAGCCCCAGGCCACCAGCGTCACCCTGCAGCGTATCTGGGCAGAGGGTGGGACTCTGTACGAGAAATCGGACAATGAGAAGATTGGTGTGAAGTCTGAGGATTTGGACTCGTTGGCTGTAGCAGTGAGGCGTGACATCGAAGACCAGCAAGCTTGAAATGCAGGGACAAGAACCAGCATGGACTCTTCATGAAGGCTGCCTAGGTAGATAGGTATACATCCGTTACGCTGTGAGGCTGGTTCATGTAAGGAAGGGGGGTCCTCGCTGTGAGTGAAGTGCGTCTCCGCCCAGATATTTATACCTACCTGAGTAGGTATGAAGAAGAGAAGGCGGCTTGACTGAGAAAAGACTGAGCATAGACACTGCATCTGGATCTTTACGATCTAGACTAGGCACTATCTAGGTCAGAGAAGCATTGCGTGTTACCTGCGGCCCCTGGATGGACATGATGGTTGGTGTTGCTGATTGGTATCCGGGGGGAAAACGAGGTGTCATCCTTCGAGTCTCTACCTTATCATCCGCCTGAAAATCCGGGGAATTGCATATGCTAGGCGGGTTGAAGCTACCTAGGTACCTACACTAGATACCTAGGCAGGTATCTAATAGGGTAAGGTCCCCGTCAGCTATCCACCATCCCGTCCACGTTGAAAGCTCAGCACACCAACCTGCTCTGCACATCTTCAAGTGTCTTACCTTGATGGTTTGATCTTGGGCTTCCTCACCAACTCTTTGAATTTCCTCCGCTGGGACCAAGCTGCTTGCTCTGCTTGCTCTGCTTGCTCTACTTTTCTGCCCCGCCTCTTCTGGTTACTGATCGACCAAGCCAACTGACTGACCGACCGACCATCCGTCAGTCTGTCCGCCATGACCCTGACTGGCGGCTTTCGAAAGCTCGCCCATGATGTGTCGCCATACCTGCTTCTCCTGATTGCCATCACCACGTTAGGCCCGTTCCAATTCGGATTCCACTTGGTACGTCTTGTCTCTTCTTCATATTCACTTCTAAGGCGCAATGACTCTATGTTCCTCTACGCCAGCTAATCTCGCTGCTCGTCTCCCACTCAGGCCGAGCTCAACGCCCCGCAAGATGTCATCACCTGCAAGAAGAAGTCCATCTCGACCCTCGCCCGCACGGCTCGTTTGGCCATCAACCCCTCTACATCCGCCGCCATTTCCGACTGCATCCCCATGTCAGATGCCACCTTCGCTACCATCTCCTCAATCTTCACCATTGGTGGCTTGATTGGCGCGCTCGCTGCTGGGCCCATTACATCGTCTCGCGGGCGTTGGCTGTCGATCCAGATCACCGCCGCTCTGTACGTACTCGGTGCCGCCATCGAGACCCTCTCTCAGTCTCCCGTCGTCATGGCTGCCGGGAGGCTAATCTCAGGTGTTGGTGCCGGCGCCAGCACCGTCATCGTCCCTCTTTACATCTCCGAAGTGGCACCGCCTGCCGAGCGTGGCTTCTTCGGCGCTTTCACACAGATCAGCTGCAACACTGGCATTCTCACTGCACAGGCTCTAGGATACTTCTTGAGCCACGGCTCGGCGTGGCGATGGATCCTGGGAATCTGCGGCCTCATCGCAGCTGCCCAGGGCGCCCTGACTTTCTTCATCCCAGAGAGCCCCGCATGGTCAGCTACGGCCAAGCGGGATGTCGCAACCGCGAGACGAGTCCTGCAGCGCATTCGGGGACCTGCGGTTAACATAGACTCTGAGGTTGACGCTTGGGGGATCGGAGACGACGTGTTCACTGGTGATGCCGCTGCCGCTGAAGAGCAGGGGCTGTTGGCATCCGATTCTAACTCGCTCATCCCTGCCGCACGGGACGAAAGCAAGGCTGGCAAGTCCCATCTGAGTGTCTTCGGCGTCGTTCGGGATCCGCTGTACCGCCCTGCTATTATCGCCGTCGTGGGGATCATGTTCGCCCAGCAACTTTGTGGCATCAATTCAATTGTCATGTACTCGGTTTCACTCCTGTCCGGCCTGCTTCCTCTGAGCTCGGTTGTCCTAACCATCCTTGTATCGGCCGTCAACCTTGTCATGACAGCTGCCTGCTCACCGCTACCTGACAAGCTAGGACGCAAGACATGCTTACTTATATCTATCATCGGACAAGGTTCCAGCTCCTTGGCCCTTGCCCTGTCCATTGTTTTTGGGGTGAAGATTCTATCAGCTCTCTCTGTGCTCTTCTTCGTCGCCTTTTTTGCAGTCGGCCTGGGCCCGGTTCCGTTCATTCTTGCCTCTGAGCTAGTTGGACAAGAGGCCGTCGGCGCGACGCAATCATGGTCCCTAGCTGCAAACTACTCAGCTACGTTCCTTGTGGCACAGTTTTTTCCTATCATCAACACAGCCATGAATGAACGATTTGGTGGTGCAGGTTGGGTATATTTCCTATTTGCCGCCTTTGCACTTATCTTTACGCTCTTCATTTCATGGCGAGTACCGGAGACAAACGGGAAGAAAGATGCCGATGAAGTTTGGGGACGGACGCGACGTATTGACTAACGAGAAGGGATCTAGTTATATTTTACAATCATTTTCATAGCAACATGCCGTCTTTCGGCTTCATGATGATTGCTGAAACATTCGTTTGTTTTTGACCATTTCTTCCAGCAACCCAATACCCGCCTTGACGCCGTCTATTATATAAACGCGACGCCCAAGCTCTGTACCGTATTGCTCGATCGCAGCGGACCTGATAGTCTCTTCCAGCCCAGCCATCCCAGCACATCCCATGACGATACACTCAACGCTGCCGCCTTTTACCAGGAGCCGCTTCGTTGCGTCCTTCAGCTTCTGCTGGATGACCTCCGGGGAGATGTCCCCATGAAAATCACCAGCCACTAATCCCGTAGACTCCACCCCAGCAAATCTGGCATTAGGCACAGCACGGTCCTGCCCCAAGAAGTCTTTCACGCCGGTAGTCAGATGCTCCTCCCAGAATTTGCCTGTAGTGACCACCCCCCACGACCGGGTGTCAGGCATTTTTGGGAGGCTAAGCAGAGAGAGGGCTGTGACAATGCTCGCTTCAAAAATGCCAATCACTGCCAAGCTTTGCTCTTGTAGTGCCAGCATCTGAACAAGAGGGTGCACACTATAGCACGCAACCAAGACCGCATCGTAATCCTTCAGAGTTCCGCGGGCCACGAGATTGTCGAAGACAATACGGCTACTACTCTCGACATCATTGCCGTCATTGATACTTGCAGGGCTTTCAGGCGGTGCCGTATACGCGTAGATTTCGACAGACTAGCCGCGCCAGGTCAGTGATGGCTGTGCCCAGGATTTGTTTGTCACTACGGTGGAACCTACATTTGCAGGGTTGGTGCCCTTGATTGCTTCTATCATGCCTGAGGTCATGGACGCTGAAGAATTCGGGTTTATTACAAGGACCCTGACATTTCTCCGAAGGAGCTGAGTGGTCATTGCGAGGACAGTGATGGATACAAGTCGCACAGAATGAGTATTCGATTATGATATTACCAATGGTATGCTTTGGCAGCCGCTACTGGTCTGATAGTGGCTGCTCTCAGGAGTCAAGTTCAGCTTATCAATCTCAAGTGAGCCATCCAGGTAGGTAAAGAGGTGACTAAAGGGAGGTACCTATTCTACATGTAAATACCATTCAAAAGTGTAACGGCCTTGCCCACTCCGTGTCAGTTGCTGTGACTTCATCCAGAATGGCTCAGGGGTGGAAGTAACAAACTGCGGGGTATCACGTGCTGGTGCCTGCCCAGCCACAATGCCGCTGACGACAGTCTCGACGACGTTGGCATCCGATCAACCCCACCAACTCAACCTCCTTCTACAGCTACATACAGCTCACCCCGGTCAGCAGCTACACTTGACGACCTCTCTGAGTAGGCCGTGCCGTTCCTGTTCTTCGGAGAAAGGCGTGCAATTCAGAATGGCAGCTCCTCCGCCCATAGGTCAGCAATCTCCGCCTTCAACCCTGCCAGGGTGCATCCCAAGCTAACTCCTACGCTTCTCACAGTGCTCGACGGCGGTACCGGCTTCCTCAAGGTCGGATATGCCGCGCAAAACTTCCCCGAGTTCCAGTTTCCCTCGATCGTCGGCCGGCCGATTCTGCGAACGGAAGAGAAGGGCGACAATGACATGATCATCAAGGACATCATGTGCGGCGACGAGGCCGCAGCCGCACGTACCATGCTCCAGATCAGCTATCCCATGGAGAACGGCATCGTCAAGAAGTGGGACGACATGCAGCACCTGTGGGACTATACTTTCTTTGAGAAGATGCAGGTCGATCCTAGAGGGCGCAAAATCCTGTTGACGGAGCCTCCGATGAACCCGCTCAAGAACCGCGAGCAGATGTGCGAGGTTATGTTCGACCGCTATGGCTTTGGAGGGGTTTATGTCGCGATTCAGGCAGTCTTGGCTCTATATGCACAAGGTACGTTATTATCACACCCTTCAAGGTGCTTTGGACCAGAGAGGCTGGGCTGACCGAGCCCTCACAATAAAGGTCTAAGCTCCGGTGTCGTTGTTGATTCCGGTGATGGTGTTACCCACATCGTGCCTGTTTACGAGTCCGTTGTTCTCAACCATCTCACGCGGCGACTCGATGTGGCGGGTCGGGATGTCACCCGAAATCTCATCGCCCTACTGCTGAGACGAGGCTACGCTCTCAACCGAACGGCCGATTTCGAGACGGTGCGGCAGATCAAAGAAAAGCTGTGCTACGTTTCCTATGACTTGGAGTTGGATAAGCGCTTAAGCGAGGATACTACGGTACTGGTCGAGAGCTACACATTGCCTGATGGTCGTGTTATTCGTGTAGGCAGTGAACGATTCGAGGCGCCAGAATGCTTGTTCCAGCCTCATCTCGTCGACTGCGAACAGCCCGGGATCGCCGAGTTCCTTTTCAACACGATCCAGGCCGCAGATGTTGACGTTCGATCGTCTCTCTTCAAAGCGATTGTGCTTTCAGGTGGTAGCAGCATGTATCCTGGTCTGCCATCCAGATTGGAGAAGGAGCTTAAACAGCTGTGGCTGACCAGAGTGCTCGGCGGCAATCCGGAGAGGCTGAGCAAGTTTAAGGTCAGGATAGAGGATCCGCCACGACGGCGGCACATGGTGTTCTTAGGAGGCGCGGTGTTGGCTAATATCATGGCGGACAAAGAAAGTATGTGGATCACGAAGCAAGAATGGGAGGAGCAAGGACCGAGGGTGCTGGAGAAATTAGGACCGAGATAGTCAAGGCTATATCGGAGGCGCGCCTGTGTTTGGTTGAGGAGAGGAGCATGATTTGTGAAGTTAGACAAAGTTGAGGAAAAGCATTTAAAGGCCTCCATTGGAGTCTACTGCTTCCTTCTCACTCACTGTACTCTGCCGTCATCAGCCCAAAATGAAAGAAGTTAGTCCGTGACATACGAAGCAGTTGCCGGCAAATGTCTTGCAAGACTTCTGAAGAGAATATGCACTTGTATGAAACAGTTAGACAAATCGTTTGCCTGGAACAGAAGTCGAGAGAGAGGATAGCCCTACATCTACGATGGCAAAATCGAGGCCGGTGGCAGTTGTCAGTCCCTGATAGGCGCCAGCCACACCTGCCCCACTTGATCCGACTTCACTCTCCTTCACTGATCACCTTCGCCTGAGTAGTCTGCCACGACACCATCCGCCTGTAATCATCATCTTCATTTAACTTGAGTCGACCTTTAATAGTGCCGGTCCTACTTGCCATCCTTAACGTGGTCTTTCTACTTGGTCTGCTTTCTCACTAGAGGAGCAGTTTAGTATGCGGACGGTTTGAGAAACTCCCTGCTCTCTATCAAACATTGCTTGCATTCTCTACATCCACACTTGACTTTGCCCTGATGACGCCCTGGGCTCCGAGGACCAGGCTTTTCCTTCTGTTGCCGAGTCATTAAACCTTTTCTTTCTCCCGAGACGAACCCCGGACTACGGTTGCCCATGATGAGCCTCACGAATCCTCCATCGGGAGCCTCAGGACCCGGCTCTGTGTCTGCTGCAAGATCACAGACTTTGAAGAGGAGCGTGCAGGCTGCCTTTGAAGGTAGGTGCTTCGATCTTCATTTTGCCCGCCGTCCTTCCTTTTCGTATCACACTTCGTTTCGAAACCACTGCATCCGCGAGCAGAATTGTTCTTCAGCGGCTCATAACACCACCCTGGGTCTTATCTTCACTTTTTGGTATTGCGCAGTGTCCGTTACATCTCGAAAGACACGTGGCTTCCCAACGCACACATCACTTACGATATACACAGATCCTGCTGATCGGGGCATTGGCCCTGTGGGCTACCAGTCAAAAGTTCGTGTCATTGACAAATACAAGGTTGTGGGCTTTATTAGCAGTGGCACGTACGGCCGAGTATACAAGGCGCTCGGGAGGCAGGGCCAGACCGGCGAGTTTGCAATCAAGAAGTTCAAGCCGGACAAGGAAGGCGAGCAGATCGCGTACACCGGCATTTCTCAGTCTGCCGTCCGGGAAATGGCGCTCTGCAGCGAACTGAACCATCTCAATGTCATCAAGCTGATTGAGATTATCCTCGAGGACAAGTGCATCTTCATGGTCTTTGAGTATGCCGAGCACGATCTCCTCCAGATCATCCACCACCACACGCAACAACCACGACATCCCATTCCGCCGGCAACCATCAAGAGCATCATGTTTCAGCTCCTCAATGGGTGCCAGTACCTTCATGCAAACTGGGTTCTCCATCGCGACCTCAAACCGGCAAACATCATGGTCACATCCGCGGGGGAGGTCAAGATTGGTGATCTCGGTCTAGCACGCCTGTCCTACAAACCCTTGCACAGCCTGTTCAGCGGTGATAAGGTCGTCGTGACTATATGGTATCGTGCGCCTGAACTACTCCTGGGCAGCCGGCACTACACGGCTGCAATTGACATGTGGGCGGTAGGCTGCATCTTTGCTGAGCTGATGTCTTTGAGGCCTATTTTTAAGGGTGAGGAGGCGAAGATGGATTCCAAAAAGACGGTACCGTTCCAGCGCAACCAAATGCAGAAGATTGTGGACATCATGGGCCTGCCGACCAAAGAGCGCTGGCCGCTGCTAACGGCGATGCCCGAGTACAGTCAGTTGCAGACCCTCCAACCTCCGCTTGGCCTTGGGCCACACCACAGCCATCAATCTCACCACCATCATGGTGCCGCCCGTCAAGCCAGCGGAGGTTATCTAGAGAAATGGTACCACAGCACCATCAATGCGAGCACAGGCACCTCCTCACCAGCTGCGAGCGGGTCCGCGGCTTCGCTTACATCTCTTGGGACAGAAGGCTACAAGCTGCTAGCGGGACTCCTCGAGTACGACCCGGAAAAGCGGTTGACGGCTGCCCAGGCCCTACAACATCCTTTCTTCAGCGTCGGCGACCGTGTGAGCGCCAACTGCTTTGAGGGGCTAAAGGTGGAATATCCCCACAGGCGAGTCAGCCAGGACGACAACGATATCCGCACAAGCAGTCTTCCTGGGACGAAGCGCAGTGGACTGCCAGACGATTCACTGGTACGCCCAGGCAAGAGAGTCAAAGAGGGCTAGGTAAAGCTCATGGCAGGCATATGGAATGAACTTGACAGATTGCATAGATTTTGTATTTCGTGCAATGGGAGGCGTTGTGCTTGCGGACGGCATGGTGTCTGGAATTTGGTCAGCAGCAATGGATGGGGGAGTTCGTCTATCTGGTCTCCGGGTTAGATAACCTTTGAGCGAAGCCTCGGTCCAGTGCATCACTTGTCGCGAAGCTTGCGGATAATTACTACGTCGAATTGAAGAGAATAGAACCGGCCCATATCAATTACAATGTCTATCCTATCCAAGATTCGTCAGTCCATCAAACCGAACATCTCGGTCACGTTCGCGACTTCAAGCTGATTCTATCGCTGTGCATGAACCACGCGGCTCAAAGAGCGGCTGCAAGTGGCTGATCATTGTCACATAGGCCCACCCTCGCCTGAGCATCGTGATACCGTCATTTATACGTTCTCATTCTGGGTATCCCTCCTTAAAATGACAAAAGTGTGGCTACAGAAGCTGGGAGTCGTAAATGCTGCGTGCATGGTAATGAAAAGCGAAGAGTAAAGGAGAAGCATAATTGTCCACCACACGTGAAGCAAAGGCTCTGAAGCATCCCCACAAAGGCTCCTTTATCTTGCGGAGGCTCGGCAGGTAGGGTAACAGCGCCGGAGGAGTGGTTGTCGCAGAAAAACTCGGAGACAAAGTCCACGGAGTATTTATATACCCACACCAAGCCGGAGAGTTGACCCTCGCTGGCTAAAGTGTCCTATTTTTTGGTTGGGGCGGGAGGCGTTTTGACATTGTTGGAGAGCCAGGCCAACCCTTCGAGCAGGCCCTCGCCTGTAGTCGCGCAACTAGGCACAACATACCAGATTTTGTCCTTGAGTTTGGAGAGCTGGAGGGCTTCGGTGACCTCCTGGGGTTTCATGGCTATCATCCGAATGGTTAGCTTACTGGCCATTTCGCTCGTAGAAGTGCTTTTGGGTGCCATGTGCCACATACCATTGTCCAGATCTTGTTTGTTGGCGAAGACGAGCAGCAGGCTGTCCTTCATCTCCCGGTCGTTTATGATGCGATGGAGCTCTTGTCGAGCTTCTTCCATTCTTGCCCGGTCAGAGGAATCGATTACGAAGATTAGACCTTGGGTGCCTGTTTGCAGGAGATTGTCAGCATACCAAATTGCCATCTTGAGTGTGCCTTATGGCCTAAATATTGGGATATATGCCCCAATTCGCAAGAGCGGTTTCCCAGGAGCAAATTTGGGGGAGACCTTGGGGACCACGTACCGCTGAAATAGTGCCTCCACAAGGGACGGATCTTATCTTGACCACCAACATCCCAGACGTTGAATTTGACATTCTTGTACGTGACAGTCTCGACGTTGAAGCCGACGGTGGGGATAGTAGTGACGTCCTGGCCCAGCTTGAGCTTGTAGAGGATGGTGGTCTTTCCGGCGGCATCAAGACCTAGCATGAGCAGGCGCATCTCCTTTGATCCGAAGATCTTGCCCATCATCTTGGATAATTGGCCTCCCATGATGAAGGCTGAGGAAGATCGAGGCGACGTTAAATGCTTGGCGAGGTTGCGATATCCAAGGGTTCCTCTGAAGCCTACAGTCTATTCCGCGCCGCGCTTATCCGGAGGGAATCGAGTCGGAATGGGACGGGAAAGATGGCTGGTTGTCTAGCGAGAGGAACTCGTAGCCGACTCGCGTGGAATTGCTTCAAGTCGGAAAGGACAATCGCGGAGTAGAGGCGGCTGTGCAGTTGAGAAGTTAGCTTGTTGCGATTGTTCAGCCTTGAAGGCCAGTACATGGAAGATGTGCGGAGATCAGGTGGATCGAGCTTCGAAATGAGACAATGAGGAAGATGGAGGCCGTATTTACCTAAAAGTATGTGTGTGTGTGTGCGTGTGTACGAAGCACGCGGTTAGGTAGATAGGCTTGGTAGGAGGTAAGTTAGGTTAGGCTCGAGATGCCCTCAAACACGATCGCCGTTGTTTCAACCGAGTACGACCGTGCTCACGGACCCCTGACGCCCTGTGTAGGTAATTCTGTCTAGGGTGTGGCGCTTCTGTACTGTACCTATTGAGGTGCCTTCTGGGAGTTCTGGACTACTTAGGTACTTTAGGTACCTATCTAGATACTGTACCACGGTACTGTAGGTATCTCTTGGGACTGGTTGGCCAGCGATAAGGTACCTGAGGCAGATGAGCGTGCTTGTACTGTACGTCAGGGATGGATGAGGTGCAGCTGCAGTTGTAAATGACTTGAGCAGGAAGGAAGCTCTTCTGTTTCGCTTGGTCGGTCGCTCGCTCCTGCTATACTGTAACCTGCAGGTGTATACTGGCTGTTGCCCCTGCCGAGATTCGCCTTGCGCTTTCCAAAAAGGCGCCCCTGCCCCCCGTTTTTCCTGCCACCTGTGGCCCCAGGCCAATGGGCTGTTTTAGCGACTCAGCACCCCCCGAAACCTCATCGGCTGCACCTGCAAGGTACGGCATTTAGCGCACACGTGCCGACCCAACAAGCAGCGAAATTGGTAAACGAGTTAACATTATGTGCCAAAGTACTAAGGCAGTGAGGTATCGAGGGTAGTATACCTAAGTACCGCGTAGGTGGGTAGGAGGCAGGACAAGTAATTAGGGGGAACCCCTTTCGCCCCTTTTATCGATTCCCACTCCTGAAAGGTGTCTCCTATCGCCTCCCTACCTACCCACCTATGTAAACTAAGTAGGTGAACCTTCAAGGTAGGCTAATCAGCTATCTGACTATTCCGTGTATCGGCAGCTCTCTGCGCAAACGTCTCTTGACAAATCCCACGGGGGACAAGAAACACATAAAAGCTTCCAAGGCGGACATTTCGAAAGCTGTGGCTGCATGTTCCCTTCGAGAAATTACCTATGCCTTTTAATCTATAAACCACCGGCTTGCACCTTGAGGCCCATTACCCCCAAAAACAAGCTCCAATCCATCAATCCCATCCGTGATGACCATCAAGAACCATGCCCCTAACGCCAATCATCTTCGAACTTTGGGCTGTACGCCGCATGGTGGACTATCACCTTTCACCAAGTTGATCTTTGGCTCAGGAGCAAGTGCTGCCCAAGTCAGGTTTGCCCCGCGAGGGCCGCTAATTGCTAATTCCGGTACTCGACCACGAAGCGTCTCTCCACGACCTGCAACGTCCCCGAATTCTCCTCTCCTTCGAACCGAAGGTTAACCTTGCCCGTGGCCGCATCGGTACCCATCACCTCTGCCTTGTAGAAAGTCGTACTATCGGGATACAGAGCGAGCACCGTCTTGCCCTTGTCAAGCTCCGACAACTCAGCACCTGCAGACGGGATGGGGATCATGCTGCTCGCACTCGTGCGATACTCCTGCCTCTGCTCTGGCGGGATATCAGGGTCTTCGTCTTTGACCTTGTATCGCCGAGACTTCCCTTCTCCCAGGACTTGCTGTACCTTGCCCAGATACCAATCCGTACTCTCGTTCGCCGTTGTCGGCTTTGGCTTGAACGCGACATCTTGGCCCTTGATGAAACTGACCTTGGATCTCTGGGCCGCGCCCGCACCGGGGAATTGCGGCTCAACGCTGTCCGCCTTGGCCGGCGTGTCCCGGTCCCCGCCACGAGGGGGCACGCTGTCACGGTTCCCCGAGCGATCGCTGGCTGTGCCACCAGAGCTGCCGCCGAGCTTGCGCGTGTGACCCCCGATGGGTGAGGGGATGGGCGAGTCGCCTGCGCCGTCAAAGTCGTAGAGGCTTGCGGGGTCCTTCTCCCGCTCCCGCTCTCGGTCTCTGGCACCAGCACGGCTGGCATTGCGGCCTGGCCCCGAATGGAGTGCGCCGGTGCGCGAAGATGCAGCCGCCGAGCCTGCAGCCGTCTCTGCGTCTTCCTTCCCCTTCTGCACGGCGCGCAGTATGGCCAGGTTGTCCCGGATGCTCTGTAGCTTGGCCACGGCTTGTTCTGAGTTGCGAACTCCTTTGCGCATGAGATCCTCGTACTTGCGCTCCTCGCTCTCGACATTCATAGTGCCCTTGTTCTTGGTCATGTACTCGTCTTGAGCGACGATGGAACGCGTGTTTTCGTTGCTTCCGTTGATCAAATCAACGGCGTCCTTGAGATCGTCCTTGGCCTGCTGCCACAGCGCAAACTCCTCGCCCTGCCCTCCGCCGTTTCGGTTGGGGCCGCGTGCATTGCGGCTGCGCTGGGAAGACATGGTCGGTCTGGGCGAGGTGACGTCTCGGTGCCTCGCAGACGATGGAGGCTTGTCCCTGTCGGGTGAGGTAGCCTGCGACCGGGGCTGGAAGCTTGTGGAGGCTGCCTTCTTGGAGGAGGGGGCGGGCGAGCCGGGGGTCTCGGAGTCGGCCCGGACGCGTGACGCCCTGGCAGCAGCAGCGGCGGCGGCGGCGGCGGCTCTGCTGGGGGAATCTGGGGCGATGGAGGCGGTAGGCGTGTTTCTCGAGGAGCTTCGTCGACTCCTACTCGGCTGGTCCCAGAAGGGTCCAAGTGAGCTCTCGAGATGGTCAGCCATGGCGGAAAGAAATGCAGCGGGGCGGAGGAGCCGCGTGATTTCTCGGATTCAGGTGGTGGTGGTGGTGGTGGTGGTGGTGGTGGTAATGGTGGTGGAAGAGGGAGGACGCGATGGTGAGAAATGAGCCGGCGCGAGAAGAAGCCGTCGCGGCGCCGATGACAGCAAGACGTGAGGTAGAGAGTAAGAGAGGGAAGAGAGGTAGTAGAAAGCGCATCGTTGACATACCGAACGAACAAAGGGGGGTCGTGCTCGTATCTCAAGGTAAAAGATGTGTGGTGAGTAGGAGGGTAGGTAAGAGTAAAGTGAGGTAGTCACCACCGATGGTTGTATAAAGCCTCGCCCCGCAGGCAGAGCAGGTAGGAGAGAGAGATGGGCAAGACCGAGTCAAGTCGAGTTAAGCCGAGACAACCTGAAGACAAGACAAGACAAGACAAGCCACAGGGTAAGGTGGGTAGTCGAATAGTAACCCGGGTAGAGGATGCGGTGGGATGCAACAAACGGCTAAGACAATCCAAGTGCCGACGACGACGACGACGATGATGATGACGGTGACAACTGATTTTGATGGATGAATGGACGGATCTGCGGCCAGGCACAGGAGCAAGAGTCAAATTCAAGATCAGATCCAAGCCAAGCCAAGTCAAATCAAGTCAAGTCAAGTCAAGTCCAGTCGATTCAATTCATTTTCAGGCATGAAGCATGAGCATGAGCATGAGCATGAACATGAGAAGAGACAAGATAGACGAGCCGGCGGGGAGGAGCTGACAGAGATTGAGTGAGTCTCTGCAAGTTCGAAGTGTGTGTCCAGGTGTGCGCAGGCTTATTGCTAGCCTCACGGCATAATGCCGTCTTCTCTCCTTCAGTCAATCAGTCAATCAGTCAATCCGTCAGTCCGTCAGTCCGTCACCTGGGCTGTCTATCCATACAGACGTCTGCAGGTCTTGTCTGGCATTGGATGGATGGATAGGTAGGTATAGGTAGGTAGGTAGGTAGGCTGGGGAAATGCAAGGGGACCTGGAAGTGGAGGGTAGGTAGGTAGTAGGTAGAGCGAGAGAGAGAGAGAGAAAGTGGAAGATTACCTAGGTACCTAGCTAAGTCTAAATGGACAGATTATGTAAGGGCTCCTGTAACCCTTCTAGCGCACCTGGGTACGGGCACTCGGATATCTAGGTACCTAGGTAGATACAGTGGGTGGCAATAAGTATTTGGCCAAAGTGAAGTACACTAATCTCGCTAACCACCTTAACTAAGCCTAATTTAACCAACCAAGCCTTTGACCTGACAACCAACAGATTTCCTACCTCCTTTTCTCTTTTCACCTTTACAATCATCAATATGACTCGAGGAAAGGAATTGTCTGTTCAGATATAATCATATATCTATAAGCTTTCTTCTCTTTACTATTCTTATTCTCAAATTCGTCAAATTCATCCGGAAATACCTTTAAGTACTATTAAATATACTATTCAAAATGAGAAGCTTCGACTCGATAACCAAACTAAATCATGATCCAAAAGACATCGAAAATTAACTAAAGAGTAAAGAGACTCAATCTACTATACTATAAAGTATGAGAATCCACATATTACCTACCAAGACCTTTTTACTTTAGTCGATAACGTTATTAAAGACCGATCTCTCTGCTACCTTCTATGCGAAATAAATAAGCGAAAATGGCGTCAACTGAAGAGACCACTCCTCACTGCCGAACATACAGCTGTAAGGCTTAGATGGGTACAACGTTATAGACACTTTACTAAAGCTGATTGAAGGAAAGTGAAGTGGAGTGACGAATATACTATAGAGAGAGAGGTAGGGAAAAGGCTTATTTAGACTTTTAATTATCTTTTATAATAGCTTTAATAGTATGACGTTCAAGAAGTGATATATAGTGAAAAAGGAGTGAAGAAGATGTTATAGGCTGCTTTTAGTTATGATTGTCGAACTGGCTTAATCTCTCTTGACGGTGATCTAGAAGCAAGAAGATAAGGTGTCTCTAGTTAGGTTATTAGTTGTCTTTATTCAGCTATTTTACCTAAGTTTCTTCACTCGAGAGATATCTTTATATATGACAACATACTAGTTCACACTGTCAGAATAGTGAAAAGAGTGTTGGAAGCTTTAGATAATATTGAAGTAATAGATTAGCCACCTTATTCACCTAATCTTAATCTAATTGAGAATATATAAGCTTTAATAAAGGCTGAGATATATCATAATTATCTAGAGTTAGAGACTGCTGATGATACTGAAGAGACACTTCTTTTGTTGGTTAAGGCTGCTTAAGAGGCCTAGCATTCAATTGAATAGTCAATACTTGACAATATTAGTGAGAATATGTCAAACAGAGTTGAGTTTGTTTTAAAAGCTGAAGGATGGTATACAAAGTACTAGATTAGGCTTAGTTAAGGTGGTTAGCGAGATTAGTGTACTTCACTTTGGCCAAATACTTATTGCCACCCACTGTACATGTAGTGAAAAAGCCTTAGGTAACGTACCTGGGTACCTAAAGCGGTGAGGATGGAGGGGCAGCACCACAACTCAAACCCCCATATAACGACCTACCTAGGTAGCCCTACGGTCGCCACCCCTCCCGAAGGTGAACAACCTTGGAAGATGGAGAGGGAAATAGGTACTCTAACAGATCCATGGCGGATGCAGCCTCCCCTGGCGATCCAATTGGCCTTCAAGGATTTGCATCAACCTGAAGACGCTGCAAAGGCTCTGTTGGATGGCCGTACATGTACATTACCTTAGGTACCTAAGGTAGGCAGGCAGGCAGGCAGGCAGGCAATCTACCCCGAGCCTCCAGGGCTGAGCTCCTAACCTATCCAGTGAGGGCGCGAGTACTGTAGGTGGAGGTGGTTGTCGGGTGCGGGGCTTACACCAGTAAAATGCGCTGGAATAGACCTCAGGTATGGCCTGTTCTGTTCTGCGCACCTGTGACGTCGAGAAAACCTCCCCTCAACACCAAAGCAAGCATCCGCCGCCTTTCCTCACATCTCACGATCTGCTGTACCTCTGAATATACCACCACCGCCTTCTCCTCCTCGCCTCCTCGCCTCCTCCCTCGCTGACTTCCTTGGGAGTAGTGCTCAGGGACTGAATTGCTCACTCTACGGAGGGCTCGCTCTCCCACCGATCGCCAGGCGTTCCAACCTGAGGAATTCCACACGAATCAAAAAACACAACCACAAGATCAGAAACACAAACACACACACACACAATGCAGGTGCCCCTCATTCGACTCCAGTGCGGCGTCAACTCCTACGACTGGGGCAAGAAGGGCAGCTCCTCGGCGGCTGCCAGATTCGCCGCTGCCACGCCGGCCCCCGACTTCTCCATCCAGGATGGTAGACCCTACGCCGAGGTATGTCTGGCGGCCTGGCTGGAACTCCATGCTTCCTCTCCCCTCCCCCAAGGTTCACGAGCTGACCGCCATTGGCCCCCATCATATAGCTCTGGATGGGCACTCATCCCTCCAACCCCTCCAAAGACCTGACCACCGGCCGGACGCTGCTCGACCTCGTCCAGGACAATCAGGCCCTGCTCTCACGGCCCACTGTCGCTCGCTACGGAAAGAAGCTGCCCTTCCTCTTCAAGATCCTCTCCATCGACAAGGCCCTCTCCATTCAGGCACACCCCAACAAGAAGCTTGCCGAGCAGCTGCACGCCCGTGACCCCAAGAACTACCCCGATGACAACCACAAGCCAGAGATGGCCATTGCCATCACTGAGTTCGAAGGCCTGTGCGGGTTTCGTCCGCTGGGCGAGATAGCGCACTTCCTGGAGCACATTCCTGCCCTGCGAGAGTTTGTCGGAGAGGAGGAGTCCAAGGCCTTCATCGACACCGTCAAAGCTCATGCCGACAACAACGATGGCTCCACAGAGGCAGCATCAAGCAATAAAAAGGCCCTCCAGAAGGCGTTCGGCGCCCTCATGTCCCGGCCCCAGTCGGCCCTCGAGTCTGCCACCAAGGCACTTGTCGAGTCTGCTGCCGATAGCTCGTCATTCGCAGGGGGCGGTGTTGCGTCTACCCCGGCTGCTACACTTTCTGAACTGGTGACCCGTCTACATGGCCAGTTTGGAGCCGACTATGGCCTATTTGTTCTCTTCTTCTGCAATTATGTCACCATGTCCCCCGGCGAGGCTCTCTACTTAGGTGCCGATGACATCCACGCCTACATCTCCGGCGACATCGTCGAGTGCATGGCGGCGAGCGACAATGTCGTCAGAGCAGGGTTCACTCCCAAGTTCAAGGATGTCGACACCCTGGTCTCCATGCTAACATACAACTACGCCCCTATCGAGGAGCAAAAAATGCATCCCACCGAGTACCCGTATGCTACGCTGAACCGCGCCGCCTATAGCTCCGGCAGTGCCACCGTGCTCTATGACCCCCCGATCGATGAGTTCTCCGTTGTGCGGACTGTGTTACGCGGCGAGGGTGCTAAGGCGACATTCGATCCCCTCGACGGGCCATCTATCATCATCTGCACATCAGGCCAAGGAACAATCTCCGTAGGGCCGACGAGCCAAGAGGTCAAGGAAGGATATGTTTTCTTTGTCGGTGCAACCGCCGAGGTGGTGCTCGAATCAGGGGTAAGCGGCGAGGACGAGGAGTTCGTGACTTTTAAAGCATACTGTGAAGTCGAAGACCACAGCAACGGCGCATAGGTGACTCAAAGTAATAAAATGGAGCGTGAGCATGACATTGCTGCCCGGAAACATCCGTGGCTTATGGGAAGATATACTAGATACCACAATTTGAGCGCTACTCGGACCGGTCGCGCTGCATCGGCGGACTTACAAGAATTTTGGACCTGCAATCGAAGCCCCTTGATCGTGTCCTTGACAGCTTTTTGATTACCCACCTCAGCGACTACCCAAGACAGTTCGGGAGACTGTAGGTGACTGATCTGATATACCGAACAGCACTGACCTATTGAGTTAATTACTGAATTATCGAGAATATGCTGGATCATCTATGCGCCTTTTTCCCCCTTTTCCTGCCCTAATCTATAATACACGCCTCCTCTGACTAATGCTACCTTTTGTAATATGGATCGAGTCCATCTTTATGTCCCCTTTGCCACATTTATCAGCAACAGCCGCCCACAGGTGTTGCGACGAATTGCTCTCGTGGAAGATCACGGATCTTTTTATCTTCTTCAAAATCCCGCCAGACACGCATGGCTGTCTCGCTGCTAGAAAGTATGTCCCATCCGACAACGCTCATACCCTTCGCGGCGGCAAGGCATCGGTCATGCGCTTCCCTAGTCCCTGCATATGCCGTAAAACCGGGCGTGTGATTGTATGAGCCGGACTTAGCAGGTATACCCACGTAGGCATGAAAGGCAGGGCATTCATAGCTGACATTGCCTTTCGTATATTAGCTTCGTCCAATGGAGCACACATATTACACTTTGGCGGATTACCTTGATCAGTCGAGCCAGGTACTGGGCTCGCATTGAAATCACACTTAACTTTCCACCCAATACTGTTCATGGCCGATGCGTATAATGTGCATATCGTCTTATTTGGCCGCACATCCGCATAGCTGTTGATCCTGTTTCCAAATTAGTGAACTGTTATCGAATCCAAGACATAAACCAAGGCTATCTTCTCACATCTCATAGTCAACACTGCACCCGGTCTGAAGTGCTGCTCCATCAAAGCACCCCTTCGCTCGATCGACGAGATCGCTGGCAGACTTTAGAGTTGGACTTCGTACATAGTAGTCCAATGCAGCATGAGCAGTAATGATGTTCGGCCGTGTGCCTCCTTGCGCGATGATGCCATGTATCCTCTCATCAGGGCGGATCTGTTGACGCAGGGCGCTTATGCCGTTATAAGCCAGGACCACTGCATCAAGGGCGTTGACACCTTGCCAGGGATTCATAGCGGCATGGGCCGCTTTGCCGGTGTATCGAATCGAAAACTTGCAGTTGGCCAACGTGGGCATGTATGCGTCCCCTGTGAAACCGGCACTCGTCTCCTCGGGTCCAGGATGTGTCATGAGACAGGCATCAATATCCCTGAACGCGCCAGCCTCTATGAGCTTCAGCTTACCTCCACCGCCCTCCTCTGCAGGTGTGCCAATGAGGCGGACACGGCCCTCGATGCCATAAGTCTTTATTGCTTCTGCTAGTCCCAGAAACGCCCCAATGGACATCATGGCAATGAGATTGTGACCACATGCATGTCCAATATCTGGTAGAGCATCATACTCCGCGTTGAAAGCTACTACATGACCTCCTGAGCCGTACTCAGCCATAAATGATGTCTCGAGACCGAAAGCATGTCTTTGGACGATATATCCAAGGGATTCAAGGAAATCAGCGATGTTGTCATGCGCTTTGAATTCTGCATACCCCAGTTCGGGGTTCTTGTGAATCTAGATGGTAAATGAGATATCTGCTACACTGTTGCGAAGACATATTGTGCTATTTCAGTGGCTTCACGAGTGTACACACCTTCTGATTGATTTCATACAAAGCTTCATTGTGTGTCTCAATTGATTGCACAATGGCTTTGCTTGGGTCTTCATTTTTCTCTCGCGGAGCTATTGCGCCCCCTTGAGCCGTGGTGTGAATAATTGTCATCGTAGCTAGGAAAAAATCAATAGTGCCGTCAGGATATGATGCTGGGTCGTGTCTCCTAAGTGCACATGAAGTACGACAACCAAATACGTCTATTGGAACAGTGCCGATGTAGTAGGGTCGTTGTAGGTCGTTACCCGAGACTCTCTAGAATGGTGTCAAGTCAACTGTCCCAGCTCTCGGTCCGACCACCCTGCTTAGTACTGAGGATGAGTACTATTCGGCAGCAAAACGCGGGGAACGCGATACGACGGCATTGACCCACTCAGCCCTTGATGTCAAGTCTTGTCTTACAGTAAGTGAACAACAGCACGATAAGGAAAGATAGTAGCGCAAACTAAGATGCAGGTTGGTGTACTAAGTCGTGTTGTGTGGGGCCAGGACTCCGAGAAACCGATTGTTAAGGAACGGGAACTTTGTAGAAAGGCTCAAGATTAGAGACAAGAGTGGAAAAAGCTGCTTTTTGCTGAAATATCACAATTTTGAAGGCATATGGCTTCAATAGTTCAATCAACACAGGTACCAATCTTGCAAAATGCCAACAACACGCGTTTCCTTGTCGGCTATAGCAACCTACTCATCGTGAACAACAACGCAGATAGATGAGGAAAGCTAAACGTCGAAAAGACAGGCATAATACTGATGAGATGTAAAATTCTCGGTTAAGGGTTGTCTTCTCAATGATAATACACTATGCTCTTATATTATCTAAACGTTATATAAGTTTTCGACGGGGTTGTCTTAAGCTAATAATGTTTCACTCCTGCAAGCTTTAGTAGCTTGTCCGTCATCTCAGGTTTCTCGAGTGGCTCCTCGCGATCTCGTGGATCTCATGTTCCATCAGGTAGAATTGTCATCTCGTCTCTTATTCGGATACTGTCATGTGGCCAATGAGTGGTTCCGCCATACTTGCCAAATACTTGTGCCTTGATAGCAAGCGTTTCGGTTGTTGCCAGCCTCGCAGGTGAGTAAGCCGCATATATGACTGTCCGGATAGTATTGCTAGACTTGGATGGCTACGAGCCGTAGTGGACAGTCCGGCTGTCCCATACAATGAGGTCGCCAACGTCAGCACAGACCTTGTGCGGATGGAGACCTTTCCCTTGAAACCATGAGAGTTCCACTTCATTCAGAATATCGAGGTCTTGACTTGGCCATCTTGACTTCTCATTTTGTGAGTCAAGCCATTCATCATGTAGCAGATGGGACCGAGGATATACGACTAGTCCGCCATCCTCTGGCCCCGCAGTTGAAAGGTTGATGATCCCTTGCATACACTGTAGACCTCGACGGAGTGGACTTTGGTCGACGTGCTCCTAGACCTTCAAACGGTCGACATCTTTACGGTTAGCAAACGTAATGTTTAAGCTGTCGAAACTAACTAGTAGCTCGTCAGTGCCCCAAAATTTGGTAAACGCATCCAGGACCCCGGGCTCCATTCGAGCATCCTACATGAACTTCTCGTGTGCAACTCGGTTTCCCTTTTCTTGTTTCATTAATCTGACGTTCTCATTTAGGGGCTTTTTCTCCTCTTCGGCGGGCTGACTGTGTTTTGGTCACTTATCACCTTCTTTCTCATTCCAGATAGTCCAATAACTGCCCGCTTCCTGTCCGACGGTTACCGATATAGGGCCATTGAACGAGTCCAAGACAACTTGACAGGCATCAAGAATCATCATTGGAAATGGGCTCAGGTTCGAGAGGCTCTCATAGATCCCAAGACATGGTTCTTGGTTCTTTTCCAGCTCTCTCAGAATATTCCGAATTGTGTTGGAACGGTAAATACTACCCCTCTCCTTCTAGTCAAACCCAGTGATAATGAATATTGCCTCTTGGATGAACGAAAGACTGAACGGCACCTAGTTCGCATCAATCATCGTCAACGGCTTCGATTTCTCGACATTTGACACGTTGCTGGTTCAAATGATTGGCACTGGCTTTCAAATTGGTTTTGTCGCGATGTCCGCTTTCGACAGTACGTGTTTCAAGAATACGCGCACGCTCTGGATGGCCTTCATGAGCCTCATTGCTCCTGTTGGAGCCATCATGATGCGTCAAATTGACCCGGATCTGATCTGGGCCCGATCTATGGGCTATTGTCTTATTTTTGCATTCTCGGCAAACTTTCCTCTGACTATGGCTATGGTTATTTCGAACACATTTGGGTTCACTAAAAAAAACGACGACAACTGCTCTAGTATGTCTTTTACGGGATCCTTTGAAGTGCAGGCTAATTGAACCAGGTCCTCATTGCATACTGTCTAGGGAACATCATCGGACCTCAATTGATGTTTGCCCGTGAAGCACCGGGTTATCCCTCTGGGTTCATTGCCATCGTGGTGTGTCTTGCCTCGAGCATTATTATTATCATTGCTCTGGGTTGCTATCTCATCTGGGAGAACAACAAGCGTGACCAGCAGGGAGAGGTTCCCGCTTTTGTCGAGGTTGATGGCGTTCAGGTTCCAATAGGCGTCCTCAACCTCCTTGACAAAACTGACCGGGAACTGTATCAATTCAGGTATGTGTACTAGCTTGCCGTAAAAGTTTGCTATTGGTGGCATCCTTTGGGCCTGAGTTGGTGTGTCACTCCTCCAAAATAGGCGAGTTAGAGAGCAAGCTATGGACAAAATAATGAGACCACACATCATATTCTTAGTATATCTCTAGAAATCCGTCTGATATCTGACAAGCAGATGTGTATATAGCTATCCAGTGACAATTGTTCAAGGACAACCAACGTTATACTTATCTAGTAGTACGAGGAGAATAGACTAATTAGTGTTTATTGCCCCTTTAAACAGAGTATTGCTTTGCTTGGACACTGCGTGCTTTCTGTCGATTGCCTAAAGAGGCATTCTTGCTTCGTTTTGAAATTTTAGGCTGGCGAGAGATCTAACAAAGGTAATTCGGAATTGAAAAACTAGAAACAGACGGCGTCGCTCATGATGAAAACGTTTTCATTCGTGACAAAATGCCTTGATTATTCAGATGCTATTAACCTATTGTAGTACTACACCACTGTAATCTTTCCCAAGTAAAACCTCCCAGTCCACTGCCTCTTGGCCTTCATTGATCTGCTTCCACACGGTATCTAATAGCCTATGGGCACCGGCGATATTACCAGTGCCGATGTTACCCTCTAGGATGCTCAGTCGATACACAATGCGAAGCCACTCGGATTTCAGTGTTGCGGATACCCCAGCCATGAACAATGGAAAGAGAAACTGAATATCAAAGGTGGAACCTGGTCTAATGCGAGACACTGCCGATAAAATATTGTCTAAGGCTTCTTGATTTTCCTGAGAATGTATGAAGTCTCTATAACAAACGTATTGGAGCCAGATAAAACAACCCCATCGCACAGCCTGTGCTGCAGAGACTGCTTCTCGGAGAGCCCAGCTAACGTCAAGTGTTTCTGGAGGTGTCCAGCCCCGGAGGTAAGTTTCGATGATCTCAGCCTGTGAAATGAAGGCAAAATCATGATCAGGTGAGGCATTCCGGCTGGAGGGTTGAATGGCTAGCTGGTTAGTAGACTTCAAGCAGCCGTACAAATCTTCAGCAAGCCCGAGTAGCGGGTGTATCTCAACCTGTAGGTCTGAATTTAATGCAAGGGAATGCTCTTTTTCTAGGACTCAAGGGACCTTATCAGATGTTATGATCGCCATGGAGCAAGGACGCTCATATAGCTGAAACAAAAATCTCGATTGTATGTCGGCGCCCATCGGGGATTCAATAATGGCTTTTGCTCCATACAAGTGGAGGATCCACTTGCGTGAGTTTCCTTGGCAGATCTATAGGTTTCGGCGTCAATGAACCATCCGAGATCACATGTAGGGTGTCGAGAGAAGAGACTTTATGACGGAGCTGGAGCGGATAGCTTACTTCTAATAGACACAACAGAAGAGTAGCTGCTAGTGCGTTATTCGTGGTAATATGTGTTTGAAACTCTTGTTTGAGATAATGGAGAGCCAGAGTCTTTTGATTGAACAAGGTGTCTTCAAAGACAGGATACATCCTACACAGGTGTTGAGCTGTTAAGGCGAGTAAGGCGTGCCGCACGGAAAGATTAACTAGCGCCATTGGCAGAATCTCAAGCAAGAATGGATTACGATCATCGTTGACGACAACTAACGCCCTAGAAACGACTTGAAGGAAATGATTTAGCAGATGCTGCTCTGTCGGATGCCATTGCGCAATGACCGTCGGTTCGACTCCATTGAAGTTCTGTAGTACTGGATCAACATGAATAGCAGTCGCCAGTCCCAACAAAGGGTTTCGGTGCCGCATGGCTTTCGTCCAGTAGGGCAACCCAGTCGAGATATTCCCTGGTAAATAAAACCCGGGAGTTTGGGGGAGCATGCTGAGACTCGGAATGGCTGGGTGGCGATTGACCTTCCTGGACGCTAGGTTTTGATGTTTCGGAGACCTGAAGCAACTGTGGCCGACGTGTCGACGACGAGGACCTCGCGGAACATATGAGGCCCAATCTATAACATTCTCCGCAGATAGGAAAGACCTTATCGCATTTTTTCCGCCTAAGATATGTGATGGGATAAGGTCAAGAAGCCTGGAA